TAGTTCAGTAGAAATTTGCATGGCTAGGTCTTTGCTTATATAAAATAACTATCCCATTTTGCTCTGCTGCTTTATTTTTGTTCATAGCATTGAATCACCATATTATGTGTTCCTATTATATTTACTGGTGTGTTTGCTCCCAGAGAGCAGGAACTTGTTTCTGCTGTCTCCCACTGTTCCTTGCCTGACATGTGTGTGATCAGTAAGTGTTGATTGAATGAATTGAATGGACAAAATAATGTCTGTGTTTACCTTTATAAGTTAGACAAGATTCTAAAATATTTTACAGAGGTAAAGATTGGATGTAGCTTCTGAGTAACATGAGTGCTTCCCCACCTGTTGTATGTGTTTTCCTTTGTTGATAAAGCTAGGACTGACTCTTTAATTTTCATGTTCATTAGGAAAAAAAAAACTAACATGCAGCACTGCTTTATCAGCTAGGGACCCTGCAAGAAACGCGTTCACTTGAGATGGTTCATCTGAAATTATCTATAAGAAAGAGTCTACATAGAAATATGCTGGTGGTTAAAGGAGTAAATACTGGATAGTAAATACTGGATGCCCAGAAATTAGCAGTAGTGGGAAGCTGCTATTCTTCCTAGGACTGGAAAGGATAAGGAAGAAATAGGTCTAGCTGGAGTGGAGGAATGGCCCCCTGGCTGGAGCAGGGTTCTAGAGGTGGGATCCTTGATCAGAGAGGAAGCCCAAGAACAACTTCTCTTTCCTCCCTTCCATAATCTCTAGTATCCCCTGGTATTTTATGGGCCAATCCTACCTTCTGGTAAGAATCCAGTTTGGTGGGATGGCCTGTCAAGGATGGAATGAGGGGAAGAGCAAGTGAAGACCAAGACGGCATCAAATCTGTGATTTTGTAGATTTCATTCTGTAGGAAGAGCTAAATTTATTGAGAGAAATAAATAAAAGAAAACCATTAATAATAGTACAGGTAAAAACCATGGCTAAAGTGTGGGGCTCACTGGGAAGATACTTCTGTGAGCTGTGGTATATTCAGCTCAGTCCGCTGTAAGATCTGTTTTCCTGATTAATTATAGAGTATCTTACGTATATTTTAATTACTGTCTGACTAGTGTTCCACATACATATGTTTTCCAGAAAACTCTTAGAATTTAAGTATAATTTTTATTTGCCTCTTTCAGAGGGACCTTTTCCCTGAAATGTAATTTCCTGAAATGTATCTAATTTCCTAATACCTTTGACTAGAATGGTCGTTCTCAAACTTTAGCTTACATAGGACTCACATGAGAAGGTTTGTTGCAACAGGTGAGCCCTGTTTTTCTGAGTCTAGTAGGGCTGGGAGAGGGCTTGAGGGGAAGCTGACATTACCAGTAAAGGGATCACACTTTGGGAACCATTACACGAGAGTCCACTGAGCTTAATTTTTGTGGTTGCCTTAGGATCATTTACCCTCCAGAGGTATCCTGAAGTTAGGGATGTTGGTTTTCTATAATGGTTACAGGTCAGTTTAAACACCTGTGTTTCTTTTTACTGTCAAGATCTTCGTGCTGCCCTTCCTTGTGCCCCCAGCAACTCCTCTCTCACTGTCCTTTTCTTGTGCTAGAGCAGCTGCCCTTCCTTGTGCCCCCAGCAACTCCTCTCTCACTGTCCTTTTCTTGTGCTAGAGCAGCTGTGGGCCATGATCAGATACATTGGTTAAATTTTAGTTGAGAAAAGAGAAGGATCCAAGCAAAGTTCATGAACTTTAGAACTAGAGTGAGCTTTATTTTATCCATTTTGACTGTTCAGTTTTGTTCACTGATTATTCTCCGTAATACCTAATGCTGCCCCGTAAGTGACCTTTGGTGAAGTAGGGTATTACTTTTAAGTTGTTCTGTACCTGCCCCCTCCTTTTTTTTTTAATAATTTTTATTTATTTTTAAAATTTCTTTTCAGTGTTCCAGAATTCATTGTTTATGTACCACACCCAGTGCTCCATGCAATACGTGCCCTCCATAATACCCACCACCTGACTCACCCAACCACCCCCCCGCCCCCACTTCTCCAAAATCCTCAGGTTGTTTTTCAGAGTCCATACTCTCTCATGGTTCATCTCCCCCTCCAATTTCCCCCAGACCTCTCCTTTTTTTTTTTTAATTTTTTTTTTTTTTTTTAAGATTTATTTATTAGAGAAAGCACAAGCCGTGAGAGGGGCAGAGGGAGAAGCTGGCTCCCCTCTGAGCAGGGAGCCTGATGCAGGGTTCGATCCCAGGGTCCTGGGATCATGACCTGAGCCAAAGGCAGACGCTTAACTGACTGAGCTTCCTAGGCGTCCCTAGAGATTTTTTATTTATTCGTTTGAGAGAGAGCAAGCAAGTGAAAGCAAGGGGAAGAGGCAAACAGAGGGAGAAGCAGACTCCTTGCTGAGCAACCCCCCCCACCCCATGTGGGACTCAATCCCAGAACCCTAGGATCATGACCTGAGCCACCCAGGTGCCCTGGACTTGTCCCCTTAAGTGAGTAGGGATCACAGGGAATCTCTGATACTTTTCGTAGCCTAACACCTTAGAAGTTCACCAAAGAATTTATTTTACCTTAAATTCTTGCTATCGTGCTTTAGCTAACTTATTGCTTCCTATCAAGTTACTTTTTTTCAAGTCTTATTTAAATAATGTTATATCTTGTAAGCACTTTCCAATCTTTTGAAACATATAGGAAGGGGTAAATAAATCTTTAAGTATAAATAATAAGTAAAAGTAATGAATATTATAAGTATATTTTATGAATACTAAATTAAGGATATAGTTATATAATCTTTCTTTTCAGAGGAACTAATACTGTGTAACATTAGCATTGAGGAGGGGAACAGTGAATTTGTGCTTTTCAGTAGGGAGTCTTTTTTATAGGCCTGCTGGCTTCCTATGTTGCTGGAGAGCTCACATCGTTATAGTTTGGTTCGTTTCTGTTCGGAGAATAGGTGGAAAAATAACTACATATTTCCCAGTTGATACCCACACCTTTCAAATAGTGGAGAAAATACTATTCAAGTGCCAGTATCAGAAGTGTGTTCTATCTTTTCTGTTGACAGAGTATTTCAAGGGCCTCTTTGTTTTGGGTTAGCTTTCGGAGTAGATTTATATATTCTGCCTTGATTTTTTTTTTCTTCAATATTTTATCTATTTATTTAACAAAGAGAGATATTGAGAGAGGGAACACAAGCAGGGGGAGTGGGAGAGAGAGAAGCAGGCTTCCTGCGAGCAGGGAGCCAGATGTGGGGCTCCATCCCAGGACCCTGGGATCATGACCTGAGCCGAAGGCAGACGCTTAACCGACTGAGCCACCCACGTGCGCCAGTGTCTTAATTTTTAACTGTTGTTTTTTGTACCTGTCAATTCATGTATTTCCTCCTGTGATTCTTTCTTTGAAATACTACTAATGCTACTTTATGAAGGAAATCATTGCCTAAACCTTGGTTATCTCACCCCAGTTTGTTTCTGCTAATTTTTTTCCCTCCTCATTAGTAATAAAATTATCCGTGTGGTTCTGTTATATTTTTGGAAATTGTGAGGTGCTTTCACGTTATTTCATTTGGTCTTCATTATGGTTCTCTCAGGTTGGAGTGGGTGTTACTGTTGTACGTAGAGTAAATCAAAGTGAAGGGAGGTACTCGAACTTTTCCTAGATCCTACCAATCCCAAAGCCTTTCCCTTAACTCTCTCCCTGGGTAAACCACAGTACTTGTGTTTGTACCTTAGACAAATTACTTAAAACTTCACTGTCTCTCTTCGTCTATAAAGTGACATTATTAATATCAATTTCATAAAATTATTGTGAGCATTCAATTTAATATGTATCAACTACTTAGAACAGTGCCTGGCACATAGCAAAGCTACAATAAATGTTAGGAGCACCGATAGTTGTAGCACATTTTTTCCCTCCCCTTACCGGTTGTCATAATAAAACTAATTCCTTGGACCTTCAGACAACGTGTGATGTAACAGAATTTTCCCATCAAAAAAACTTGGGTTATTTATTGAGTTTATTATGTTGGATTAATTGTTAATATGTCTTAAAAAACCTCATTTTTAGTTGTCCAGGTTTTTTTCTGTATTAGCGTGCGATAAAATAATTGTTTAAGGAAGCTGTTGAAGGTGTTATTTATATTGCTTTTTTTTGCAGTTTTATATCTTTATTTGACGATCAGCGATTGGTTCTCATCCATATTAAGTAGATTTTTTTGAAAGTGGTGACGGGTACATAGGGAACCAACGTGTAGGGCATGTTTGGTGAATCTTCATCTCCGTTATGGCTTTCTGGGCAATGGTGCATGGGTATGGAACGGAACATTCCTTATTCCTTTGGTCCAGACAGCTTTTTTGAGCCTGGTGTCAGTGTGTACATCTGGAGTTCCCATCTCCTTTATGGCAAATTTCTGGATCGCTTGGAGTGCCCAAGGGGCACACATGCTTCCTGAAACCCACTCCATGGTTGTGCTTGTGAACGTGGGTAACGTATTCTCTAGTCACTATCTCGTTGATGGCAGAGAGGCCCTTCTTATCTCGGAAGCTAAGCAGGGTCGGACCTGGTTAGTACTTGGATGGGAGAAAGGCCCTTCTTCTTGCCACCCTTCTTTGTAGGAGTTCTGCTGGGCCCTGGTTGGAAAGGAAATGTTGCTTCTTTTAATATTCTAGAATCAAAATAGAGATGACTTTTCTTTGATATTATAGTATTTTAGTGCATTATTTTATTATTCAAAGAAAAAAGTATATGGCTTATTGGATGGTCCGTTGGCGTTTTCAAGGGTTAGGACACAGGCCGTTCGGAGCGGTTACTGACTCACGGACGTATGCGTATGGAAGAAAGTGGGTATTTCATAATGTCTACAGAATTTGTAAAATACCATCACGTCAGCATTAACTCATATAACCGAACTTTAGGAAACTTTGTTGAAAGTAGTCACGATTTGCTTGAGATGATTTCTGTTTAGGTACATATTTTAAGAGATAAATTTCTAAAACTGTCTTATGTGTTTCTTCCTCCAATAGGGCATTCTTAGCAGGGTTACAGAATCTGTTAAGAATATTGTGCCAGGATGGTTACAAAGATACTTCAACAAGAATGAAGATGTATGTGGCTGCTCGTCAGATACAAGAGAGGTTCCACAGTGGCCAGAAAATAGAGAAGATGATCATTTGGTCTATGCTGATGAGGAGAGCTCTAATATTCATGATGGGAGAATCACTCCTGAGCCAACAGTCAGTAATACAGAAGGTACGTAGCATGTGAATATTTTGTTAGGTGTGATAGGTTTTCATAAATCTTCTCACATTCCCCTACTTTAGTAAATCTCATTGGGTAGTACATAAGCTGTGTAGGAGGAGGGTGATCCGGTTCAAATGAGTTATTTATCAGCTTTTTGTTTAGTAAGGGAGGTTGATGTATCAGTTAGGAATGCAAGCTCTGGGATTAGACTTGGGTTTTGAATTTTCAGACCATCAACTGTCATGTGGCTTTTGGACAAGAGAGTCTGTTTTCCCCTCAGTATCCTCATAATTGTTTTGATATAGGTCATGGCACTAAGGCAACACTATATAAGTGTGAACTCTTACAGTGAAACTGTGATAATGCCTCCCCCAATACTAGAATTAGGTGTAGTATAACTGCAGTTGGCTCCTGTCCTTTCTGCGGCACGCTCAGCTGGGTCATTTCGTTAGTCTTAGAATTAAGTGAGCCTGCATTTTAATGGCTTGAACGTTTTTGGATCCTCTTACGGCATTTTGATGGGGTTTACAAATATTCAGTAGCTTCAGATAATCCATGAACATGGCATATTTGGAAATATTTTTCTGTTATTTCACTGTATATAGTTTTTACAGCTTTATTGAGATATACTGTTTCACATACCCATTTAAAGTGTACAGTTTAATGCAAAAGAATGAAACCGGACCACTTACACCCTACACAAAAATAAAGTCAATTAAAGATCTAGATGTGAGATTTACAACCATAAAAATCATAGAAGAGAGCATAGGCAATAATTTCTCTGACATTGGCCATAGCTACATTTTTCTAGCTATGTCCCCTAAGGCAGGGGAAACAAAAGCAAAAATAAACTGTTAGGGCTACATCAAAATAAAAAGCCTTTGCACAGCGAAGGAAACCATTAACAAAACAAAAAGGTAACCTACTAGAATGGGAGAAGATATTTGCAAATGATATATCCAGTAAGGGGTTAATGTCCAAAATATATAAAGAACTTCAGCAACTCAACACCAAAAAACTCCACAAACATTCCACCTAAAAAATGGACATAGGATCTGAGTAGACATTTTTCCAAAGAAGACATAAAGATAGCCAACAGACATATGAAAAGATTCTCGATATCAGTCATCAGAAAAATGAAAATCAGAACCACTATGAGATATCACCTCACACCTGTCAGAATGACTAAAATCAAAAAGACAAATAATAAGTGTGGGCAAGAATTTGGAGATAAAGGAACCCTTGAATACTGTTGGTGGGAGTGTAAATTGGTACAGCCACTGGGGAAAACATTGTGGAGGTGGAGGTTCCTCAGAAAATTAAAAGTAGAATTACCATAGGATCCAGCAGTTCCACTACTGGGTATTTAAAGAAAAAGAAAACACTAATCTAAAAAGATAAATGCACTGCTGTGTTTATTACAGCATTGTTTATAACAGCCAAGTTACGGAAGCAGTATAATTGTCCATCGATCGAGAATGGGTGAGGAAGATGTGGAACACACACACACACACACACACACACACACCGGAGTAGTATGTGACCATGAGAAAAGATGAGATCATGCCATTTGCGACAACATGCATGGACCTAGAGGGTATTGTGCTAAGCTAAATAAGTCCGAGAATTAAAGACAAAGCCATATGATTTCAGTCATGTGGAATCTAAGAAAACCAGATGAAACAGAAAGCAGAATCAGAATGATAACTAGGGTGAACAAACTGATGGTTGCCAGAGGGGGGTGTATGGAGGTGGGCAAATAGGTGAAGGTGGACCGGAGATACAAGCTTCTAATTAGGGAGAAAAGAAGTCACGGGGATGAAAGGCACAGCACATAGTCAGTGTTGTTGTTGTAGTGTTATATGGTGACAAGTGGAAGCTGCACTGGAGAGCATCCTGTAATGTATGAACTTGTTGAATCGTATGTTGTACGCCTGAAACTAATGTCATGTTGTGTGTGAACCTGTACTCCAAAATTTAAAAAGATAAAGTGTTCCATTCAGTGGTTTTAAATATATTCACGGCGTGGTTAAACCGTCACCACAGTCCGTTTTAGGGCATTTTTGTCACCATCCCTGTCACCACCCCCAAACCCTAGAGCCATTAGTAGTCATTCCCCATCCCAGGCAACCGCTGATTTGTCTCTGTCTCTCTGTAGATTTGCCTAGACTGGACATTTCATATAAATGGAGTCACAGAATATATGGTCCTTTGTTGACTGGCTTACTTCACTTAGCATATTTTCATGGATCTTCTTTTTATTGCCAGGCAATATTCCATGGTAGGGATAAAACTCCATTCTGTTTATCCATTCATTAGTTACTGGACATTTGGGTTTTTCCACTTCTTGAACATTATGAATACTGCCGCCTGAATATTCATGTGTGCAAGGTTTTGTGTGGCTATGTTTTCTCTTGTGTATATACCTAGGAGTAGAATTGCTAGGGCACATAGTAATTCTGACGTTTTGAGGAATAATTGTTTTCCAAAGCGGATATATCATCTTGCCTTCCCACCCACAGTGTATGAAGATTACAATTTCTTTACATCCTCACCAACATTTTCCAGTTCTAAATGTTTTTTTAAAGTTAATTTTTTGTGGTTTTTTTGGTAACCTCTACATCCAACATGGGGCTTGAACTCATGACCCTGAGATTAAGAGCCCGGGCTGACCCAGCCAGGCATCCCTTTAATTTTTTTATTATAGCTCTTTTAGTGGGTTGAAGTGACATCTTCTGGTTTTGATTTGCATTTCCATAATGACCAGTAATACTGAGCATTTTACCATATGCTCATTGGCTCTTTGTATATCTTTGGAGAAATAACTATTCACATCTCCTTTTTCCATTTTTAATTGGATTATTTGTCTTTCTGTTGTTGAATTGGATGAGGTCTTTGTATATTCTGGATGTAAGTCCCTTATCAGTGTAGGGTGTACAAATATTTTCCTCCTTCTGTGGATTGTCTTTTTTACTTTCTTGATAGTGTTCTTTGAAGCACAACAGTTCTTAAATTTTTTTTAAAGATTTTATTTATTTATCTGACAGAGAGAGAGAGATCGCAAGTAGGCAGAGAAGCGGGTTGGGGAGGGGAGCAGGCTCCCTGCTGAGCAGAGAGTAGGATGCAATGCGGGACTCAGTCCCAGGACCCTGAGACCATGACCTGAGCCAAAGGCAAAGGCTTAACCCACCAATCCATGCACGTGCCCTAAAAGTTTTTAATTTTGATGAAGTCCTGTTTATCTCTCCATGTGTTTCTTTATATTTATTTTCTTTCACTATATGTTTTAGCTTATAAAAGTTTTCTGACTATGTGTTGAAGTCTTGTCTTGCCTAAATAATTGAGGTGGGTGTATGGCCTGTTAATTTGGTGGATATAGTAACATCTTTTCCTGCCTGATTTGCTTGTCGTGAAACCCAGTGAGAATGAAGTGGGCCTGAAAAAATGATTCCCAGTGTGGACAAATGGCTTACCTAAGTTTTCTTAGTAATTCTCAGTTTGGCTTAGTCTTTAAATGTTTGCTTATTTTTTGTTAGAATAATTTGGGAAGTTCTATTATCTATACTTTGGACAGATTTCTTTCAAATACATTACCAAAAACCGCCTTGAGGCTTTATCTAGTAGGTCTATGCTGACTGACTTCATGTCATTTTTTTTCCTGGGCACTTAAGGGGGACCCTGGCTTCTCCTTTCGTTAGAGACTTCCAGTGTTCCCGGGCCAATATCCACAGTGACTGACACGATTTTCCATCTTAATGAGCATGCTTTTGAGGATTAACTATCTTGAAGATTTAATTTAGTTCAGGGGTGAGATAAATGGAGTGTTTCTCATTTTACATCTGTAAAGTTCTTTTTTGCGTGTGTTTGTATTTTCAGTAAAATAATGGAATTCGGTGGTTTGCCGAGGTCATTTCCAACTTGGATTTTATTCATTATGTCACTAAGGTTATATCATACTTTTCTGTTACATGTATAGTATACATACCTTTGTGATTTAGTGTCTAAAATTACCATGGAAGATTTCAAACTGCGCAGGTAAGGAGGATAGTGCAGTGAAACTCCCACGTACCCATTACCCGGCTTCAAAGACAACCAACTTATGGCTGATCTTGTTTTCTCTGTTTGCACACTTACCCTAACTTCTCCTAATTATGTAGAAGCAAATTGTGAGCTACTTCTTTATAGTAATTTCAGGAACTTGATAGCATTTCCCACCTCATTCTTTTTTTTTTTTTTTTTTTAAAGATTTTATTTATTTATTTGACAGACAGAAATCACAAGCAGGCAGAGAGGCAGGCAGAGAGAGAGGAAGGGAAGCAGACTCCCTGCCGAGCAGAGAGCCCGATGCGGGGCTCGATCCCAGGACCCTGAGATCATGACCTGAGCCGAAGGCAGCGGCTTAACCCACTGAGCCACCCAGGCGCCCCTCCCACCTCATTCTTACCTTAAATCTGAATCCTGCTCCTATCTTTTTCTTTTCTTTTCTTTTCTTTTCTTTTTTTTTAAAGATTTATGTATTTATTTGAGAGTGAGCATGAGTGTTGGGAGGGGCAGAGGGTGAGGGGAAAGCAGTCTCTCCACTGAGCAGGGAGCCCAGTGAGAGGTTGTGGATCATGACCTGAGCCAAACGCAGACGCTCAACCAACTGAGCCACTCATCTGCCCCAATCCTGTTCTTATCTTAAACTTTTAGTCCCAGATAGTTCTTTTCTGGGTATTGGATTATTCAGTAGTTGTAATCACATAATATGTGATTTAAAATACCATTGATAACTCCCCAGTGTGATGAATATAGCTCTTACTAGAGAAAGAACTGTTTACTCTAAAACATTACATTTAAATTTGACAGTGCATTCTCAAAAAACAACTTAGATCTCTCTGCTCTTAAAGTGGTGTCAGATCATTCGAAGCTTAAAATAATGGAAAGCTTAAAGCAGTCCTGAATGTTGTTTACTCAATATTAATTTTGCCAGTGTAACTTTTGTATTAATAGTAACTGGAGCTGGAGGGGATTATGCATTCTTCAAATAGTACAGGGCAGTACGAACAGTTATAGAATCTGTGGCCCATTTAAAATCTGTTCTCTGCAGCTTTCTGCCTGTGTACTTCGTTGTGTTGACTATCTTAATGATGGTGAGCCTTTGGGTGTCTGGGTTTCTTCTGCTAGGTTAGTGGAATCTGAAATAATGTACAGGTTTCATTGAGTTAGTTATGAGTTCAAGCCTCGGAAAGACTCCACAATGGCATATCTAGTACACTAGTCAGCAGTAGATTGAAGTTGTGGACTGCTTTGTCTAATCGATACCATGTGATTATAGGTATATTCTTAGAAACTGAGTATTTGTGGCTGATAGAAATCTACAGGTGACATTGCCTTATTTACTCACATTATCCCAAACTGTCTTTGGGCTTGGTTTTGGGGGTAAAGAAGTCCTGTAGGTATTAAAAAGTAACACTGCTTTTAGCATCATGCCTTCAAGTAGATGTAGGTCATAATAGATTTCTTTTTCCTTTATAGTTTCTGTGTAGACTAGATTTAGCAGATGTCTGCCCATAGCTAGAAAATTGTCCCCTTGCTTTTATCCTATAGGATAAACTGATGCAGGGATGAGAGAATGAGATAAGTAAAAAACAGTTTCATAGTATAGTATACTACAAAATGAGAATACTAAATACCCCAAGAAACATTTCGGCCTTTATGTAGGTGCATCCTGACTGCAGAAAAATTGAAATAATGTGTAAATGCCAAAAGGTTTAACTGTCAGTACCAGTAGATTTTCAGACTCTAGCCAGTATCTATCTTGAGTGAACTTGATAAGAAATTATTACATATAAAACAATTTAAATGTCATATTAGATTTTTAAAATATGGCTTTTTGTGAATAGTGATTTTTTTTTTTTTTAAGATTTTATTTATTTATTTGACAGAGAAAGAGAGCGAGTGAGACAGCACAAGCAGGGGGAGCAGTGGAAGGAGAGGGAAAAGCAGGCTCTCCTTTGAGCAAGGAGCCCAATATGGGTTTCGATCCCAGGACACTGGGATCATGACCAGAGCCGAAGGCAAATGCTTAACTGACTGAGCCACCCAGACGCCCCTCTTTTTGTTAAATTCTAAGTGTTTTATTCTTTCGATGACATTGTTAATTGGGTTTTTTGTTTTCTTTACTTTTCTTTTTTCTTTCTTTTTCTTTTCTTTTCTTTTTTTTTTTTTTTTTTGATTTTAGTTATTTATTTGAGAGAGAGCAAGAGAGTGGGTTGAGGGAGCAGCAGACTCCCCACTGAGCAGGGAGTTTAATGCAGGGCTTGATTCTGGGTCTCCGGGATCATGACCTGAGCCGAAGGCAGACGCTTAACCCACTGGGCCACCCAGGCACCTCTGGAATTGTTTTCTTATTTTACTTTTCAGAATGTGCATTGTTAGCGTGTAGAAATAGGTCACTTTTGTGTAATCTGTTATTTTGCTGAATTTGTTTATTCCAGCAGGGGTGTGTGTGTGTGTGTGTGTGTGTGTGTGTTAATGTATGTATGTGTGTAATATTTAGGAGTTTCTGCATATAAGCTGTATCATTTGCGAATAGAGATATTTTACTTCTTTTCCAATTTGGATATCTTTCTTCTGCTTGCATTACAACTCTGTCCAGAGCTTACAGTACTGGTTAAATAGAAGTCGGTAGAGCAGGGGTCCTTGTCTTGTTCCTGAATTTAGAGGAAAATCTCTTTCACCACTGGGTTTGATATTAGCTGTGAGTTTTTCATATGTGGCTTTTATTAAGTTGATGTTTCTTTCTAGTTCTAGTTAAGTGTTTTTATCTGCATCTTATTTTTTGCATAATAGCACTCTGAAACTAATCCAGAATTGTTTTGTATTGCCTATGTCGTTAAGTATTTTTGAAGACCTACATTTGGGAAGAAAGTTACAGCATAGCAAATGCGGTTCAGCAGTACATTAAAGAACAGTAGAATCTTCTTACTGGGAAGAGTTAATCTTGGGATGTAACGAATCATTCATCGTGAGGGTTTTAATATAATTCAGCATATTTATAGGTGAAGTGATCTTACAATTTTTTTCTTTCTGGTAGATATTTAATAGGCATTTGCTAAAACTTAAAGTCCATTCTTCTTTATTTCATTTAGAAGTTGGATTCCACCACTTCTATAACATGTTAGTCGTCCAAAGGCCACAATCGCATGTAATGTGAAACATTAGAAACATTCCCATTAAAATCAGATATAAAATGGAAGCCCATTGTTACTACTTCTAGATGTTAAAGATATAATTATAGAGGATGTCTGTATATGTGTAAGTATTGGGAAGAAGGAGGCAAAATGATCCTTGCCTGCCAGTAATAGTCAGAAAACCTAAGCCAATTGATTAAACAAAACAAAACAAAACTTGTTAGGCTAAGAGAATTGTAGAAGAGAAATTAATCACAAAATTAATACAGGAAAAAACCCCAATAACTCTTACTTACTTTCTACTGTCCAGTGCCCTTAATACTGGTTTCTGCCTGCCATGTTCTGCTTGGATTCCAGTTTTCTCTTCCAGGTCCGGAAATGTACCTAGGTAGAGAGTGGGATAGCGATAGGGCTCACTTTTTGAGTTTTCTATTTATTTTGAGTTTTTCTATTTTAGAGTGATGTTTTTTATTGTCTGAAAGATGTCCATTTTGTCTAGTTTAATAATTATTTAAATTTATAGTAGAAGGGCTAGTCTGGAGGCCTAGTTATTCTAGCCTGTGAGTCTTTTTGTAAACTTGAAAAATGATTTTAAAGTTCTTGAAAATATACCTGAAGATGAATAGAGAGATTCTGAAAAAGAATAAGGGGAATGTGGGGGGTAGGTTGGAGTAACTTTTACAGTTACTAAATGTGTTCTAAAGTTAGAGTAGGTAAAACATTCTCCTGCTAGTACAGATATATCACTGGGGAAAGAAGTGAAAAGCCTTTTGGAACTTAGTATTGTGGTAGTGGTGGCTTCTCAATCAGTGATTAAAAGATAGCTTGTTTAAGAAGGTTATTTTAGAATATGAACAGGCTAACCATTTGGAAAACAATGAAGCCTGAATCATTCTTTCACTACTACATCATAACTGATTCCAAATGGACTCAAGATTAAACATTATATTGAAATAAAAGTGACAGTGCAGTACCAAAAAAAAAAAAGAGTAAAATTTTTAATTTCTTACAGTCTTGGAATGGTAAAAGTCTTTGTAAACAATGTGCAAGTTATTTTCTGTACTGTAAAAGACACCCATCAACAAAATGAATAGGTTCAACCAATGGTGAAAAATTGTTTCAGATCATATCACAGGATCTTACTGATCAAAAATTAGATTTTAACTTATTTTATTAGTAAGAGGAACTATATCAGTAAGCAATTAATAGAAAAAATGTAAATGACCAATGAATATAGAGAAGGATGCTCAGTAGCCCTCTCATTTAAGTAAGTGTAAGTAAGATAATGATGCAGCTTGACGTAGTAAATTGACAGAAATCAAAAAAGGTTAATAGCCAGGATTAGGATGGTGAAATGTACTTTGTCATTTGCTCTTTGTGGGAGTTTAGCTTGACAAGATCACAGTATGTCTCATAAGCAGAAACGAGCACACACTCTGATCAGTCCCCAGAGCAGTACCGATGTAACGGTTTATCCCACGGAATCTCATACCTTGGTTACTCAGGCAGCTCTAGGGGCTCAACTCAGGCTTACTGAATCAGATATTTCTGTGAGTAGCTTAAGAGTATTTGTTTAATAATTTCATGTTTCTGTTATAGTTTTAGAGAACTGTGGATTAATCCAAAAGAATATTCTGAAAAGTACGCAGATATCAGTGCATATATGTTTGATGGAGCATTGGGAAAGTAATCACATAAACATAGTCAATGCCTGTGATAAAATACAACGTGGGCTTTAAAGCGAATGCTTTGTATATAGAGACAGTTATATTGGTAAACAGAAAAACAAATCCTAGAACTGGATGCATCGTGTGATTATGTAATTAGGGACAACATTTATGTGTGCATATAAAATATCTGGGAGGATACACAAATTTAATAGTGGTTGTACCCGGAGGAAGACATCCTTTTTGTTTCATGACTTTCTTCTATAGCTTCTTTGATTTTATTTTTTACAAGCAAGTTTTATAATACCAATTCAAGGAAAAGAAAAGGACCATGCACTTTTAGAAGTTGTATGTGAACCCTGAAACATGGTTTGATACTTGGTTAAGTAAATTCATTGCAGTTAGATGAAATCTTGTTTGGCTAAAGAATAGCCTAAATTGGGCTTATCATGGGAGGCTTCAGTGACTTGCATTGAACCTATATTTATTATATAGTTTTTTTTTTTTTTTAAGACTCCATTTGTTGTGATACTGTATTGCTTTTTCTAAGCTGTGTATTCATAATATATATATATTTTTTTTAAAGAACCCTCAACAACTAGTACTTCTTCAAATTACCCAGATGTATTAACAAGGCCTTCTCTTCATCGGAGCCATATGAATTTCTCCATGTTGGAATCTCCTGCATTACACTGCCAGCCCTCCACATCCTCGGCATTCCCAATTGGCAGTTCTGGATTTTCCCTTGTAAAGGAAATTAAAGATTCTACCTCTCAGCATGATGATGATAACATCTCAACTACCAGTGGTTTTTCTTCAAGAGCTTCTGATAAAGGTATTCTTGGCATTTGGTAGTAGAGTTGAATTTCGTGGGATAGGTTTTCTTCTGCCTTGTAATTTCCATTTTCTTGTAATTAGTGCTCTTACTATGCCGTGCCTATTTTTGTTTCAGATATAGCTGTTACGAAGAACACTTCAGTGCCACCTCTGTGGTCCCCGGAGGCTGAACGTACTCCTTCACTCTCACAGCACGCTGCCACCAGCTCGAAAAAGCCGTCATTCAACTTGGCTGCCTTTGGAACACTTTCTCCTGTGAGTGTACTAGTAGGATTTGATTGAATCACATTGGTTTTGAGTGTTTATTGCTCATAATTTATTGTTGTGTTTCTGTGCAGTCACTTGGGAATTCTGCAATCCTTAAAACAAGTCAGCTTGGAGATTCTCCGTTTTATCCTGGAAAAACCGCGTACGGCGGGGCGGCGGCGGCCGGGAGACGGCCTAGACCGCGAGACACCGCGCGCCAGGTTGGTTTGAGTAGGAGAAGGACTGAGAACCTAGAAATAATAATAGTAACAATAATTGACAGATAACTCGTGGACCTCAAGTGGGGTTGTGGTTTGGCTACTTTTTTTTGGTGAAGTGATAGAGCTGTGGGTTAGAAACATTCTTTTTATTTAGGGACTATCTGAACATTATTTTGACCCAAGTGAACATTTATTCATTACATTTGTGAGTGTGTTCTATGCATCTGTGCTTTAGGAATTAATTTAGGAGTTAATATTCCTTTTTTTAAAAATTGAGGTGTAAATTATGTTTAGTAAAACTTACCCTTGTTAGACTAATTGAATTTTAACAGAATACATACAGTCGTGTGCCCACTCTGCAAAGTATTGAATAAACGTTTCCATCACCCCAAATGTTACCTTATGCTTCTCTGTAGTTGACCCCTCTTTCTGCTTTCCATCCTTTGGCAACCACTGATCTGTTTTCTTTCGCTGTAGTTTTGATGTTTCCAGAATGTCATTTAAATTTGATCAGTATAATTTCTAGCCTTTTGAATATGGCTCATTCTACTCAGTGTAATGCATCTGAGATTAATATATATTTTTGCCTATATCAGTAGTTCCTTTTATTGCTGAGGTGTAATTTGTTTATCCGTTCCCTAGTGAAAGGACACTTGGGTTGCTTCTGATTTGAGGCATTTCTGATTAAAGTGGTTATGAACATTTTGTGTGAACATTAATTTTCATTTCTCTTGGGTAAATACCTAGAAGTTGGCTGCTGGGTCTTATGTTAAGTATACATTAAACTTTTTATAATAAATTGCCGGACTGTTTTCCAGAATGACTGGCACCACTTTGCATTCAGTTTTTCTTGTTTCTTTGGTTTTTCTTTTCTTTCCTTTTTTTTTAATTTTAGCCATTCTGATAGGCATGTAGTGGTAACTCCACATTGCTCTGGTTTTTATTTATGAAACTGAGCATCATTTTGTGGGCTTATTTGCCATAAATGTATCATCTTTGGTGAAACATCTGTTCAGATCTTTTGCCCGTTTTTTGCTTTAAAGATTTATTTATTTATTTTTAGAGTGTGTGTGCACACATGTGAAACGGGAGAGGGGTGGGGAGAGGGATTCTCAAGCAGACTGCCAGCTGAGCTGGGAGCCCCATGTGGGCTTCCCATCTCATGACCTGAAGATCGTGTCCTGAGCCAACATCAAGAGTCAGACACTCAACCAGCTGAATAACCCATTCTCCTCTTGCCTGTTATTTAATAGGGTTGTTTTCTTATTAATGAGTTTTGAGAGTATGTTATTCCTTTATTAAGTCCTTTGTTAGATATATGTTGTGCAAACCTGGCTTAAGTCTTTTGAAGAGAAGGTTTTTACTTTTGATGGCATTTAGTATATTGGTTTTTTTTTTTTTTCTTATATGGTTCATGCTTTTAGTGTAGTATGTAAGACATTTTTGTGTAAGCTAGTGTCACAGATTTTCTTCTGTGTTTTCTAGAGGCTTTATAGTTTGAGGTTTTAATTTAGACTTCTGATCTGTTTTGAGTTAATTTTTGTCTGGTATGTATCATGTCAGGAGGTAGGGATCAAGATTTTTTTTTTTTTTTTTTGACATAAGGGATGTCCAGTTTTTCTAGTACCATTTGCTGAAAAGTTTATACATTCTACATTGCCTTGGCCTCTTTTTTTTTTTTTAATTTTTTATTTATTTGACAGAGAGAGGCACAGCGAGAGAGGGAACAGAAGCAGGGGGAGTGGAAGAGGGAGAAGCAGACTTCCCACTGAGCAGGGAACCTGATGTGGGGCTTGATCCCAGGATTCTGGGATCACGACGCTTAACAACTGCGCCACCCAGGCGCCCCTTGCCTTGGCCTCTTTATTTGAAAATCAGTTGACCATATATGTGGCTCTGCTTCTTGACTTTCTATTATTTTCTATTTCTGTGTATTCTTTGGCCAACTCGAAACTCTCTTGATTACTATAGCCTTACAGTAATCTTGAAATCACTAATGTGTGTCCTCCAGCTTTATTCTTTTACAAGTTTTTTTGGGTTTCCTAGATCTTTTGCTTTTTCGTAATTTTAGAATCACATTACCAGTTTCTGCAATATACTGAAATATTGATTAGGATTGCATTGAATCTAAAGATGAATTTAGGGGAGAATATACATCTTAATAAACTCGAATCTCCCAATCCTTGAACATAGCGTGGCTCTCCATTTACTTGTCTTTTTGAAATTTCTTTTATCAGTGTTTTGTAGTATTCATCATACAGAACTTGCACATATTTTGTTAGATTTATACTTAAGTTTTCATGTTGTTTGATAATAGTTGAGATATAATAGCCCAAATAGTCTATTGAGTAAATTGAAAAGTAGTTAAGATATCTTCCAGCAAAGAAAACTTCAGCCTCAGATAACTTCCTTGGTGAATTCTACCAAATATTTTAAGAAAGAAAGAATACCAGTTCTACACAAACTTTTTCATATAATGGGGCACCCTTCCCATCGTATTTGTGAGAGCAGCATTACTCTGATACTGAAACAAACTAAAGAATAAAAACCATGAATATCTCCACAGATGCATAAAACACATTTGACAAAATTCAGTGTCCAGACATGATAAAAATTTTCTGTAGCCTAGGGAGTAAATGGAGATCTCCTCAGCCTGTTAAAGGGTATCTATAGAAAATCTTCAGCTAGCATCATACTAGTGGTGAAAGACTGAGTACTCTTCTCATCAGGTCAGGAAGAGAACGAGGATATTTAATGCCATGCTGCAGGTCTAGCCAACGCAGGAAGAAGAAATGCAAGGCATAGACATTATGCTTATCTACATAGACAAGCCCAAGAAATAATAAAAAAAAGTTATCAGGGGCGCCTGGGTGGCTCAGTGGGTTAAGCCGCTGCCTTCAGCTCAGGTCATGATCTCAGGGTCCTGGGAACGAGTCCCGCGTCGGGCTCCCTGCTCAGCAGGGAGCCTGCTTCCCGCCCCCCTCTCTCTGCCTGCCTCTCCATCTACTTGTGATCTCTCTCTGTCAAATAAATAAATAAATCTTTAAAAAAAAAAAAAAAAGTTATCAGAACTTATAATTGAGTTTAGCAAGATCACAGAAGACAAGTTCAGTATACAAAATCACTTGTATTTACATAAGTATTAGGAAAGAACAAGTGGAAATAGATAACTTTTAAAAAAATAAATTCAAGGTGAATTCCACCATTCTGTGTTTTGCCCTTAAGAGTTTTTTGAAGCTCATAAAAATGGTTTTGTTGTGTATATTACTGTGCTTGCTTTTACAGATTTTGACATTTTAAAGATGGAGAAGTAATTATACTTGCAGTGTGTAGGCTTTTCGAGAAGGGAGTCTGTGTGAAGATGACAGTCCATAACAAACACAGCAATGGGATAGAAACAAGCATATATATATATATATATATATATATATATATATATATATATATTTAATTTTATTTTATTTTTTCAGTGTTCCAAGATTCATTGTTTATGCACAACACGCAGTGCTCCACGCAATATGTGCCCTCCAAGATTTTGTTTTGTCTTTAGTTTCTTGCTTTCCTAATTGGAGGATGATTTCATGTATATAGTTAACAGTAATTAGGAGTTTTATTTCTGAAAGTGTTCATGAAGGGCAATATTTTGTTATTTTAGGAAGTGTTAACTGAATGTTAGAGTTACACAGGGAGCTTTTTCTAGAGCTTAACTGGATCATAGTACTCCTTTAAACATTTTTTTAAGTTAAAACAATAGTTAAGCGTCTTAGTATAAGATAGGATGATGCAAGCCTATGATTCATAGAATAGGCCAAGTCAGAGTGTACTCTTGCTATTTCTTCCTTTCTTACATTGAATCTTACACTTTTTAATGCTAAGTCGTGACGTACCTTTAAAATCCTTCTCAGCACAGGCTTCCAAATGTTCTATCATTGATATTTGGGATGAATCTATTACTCCTTTCCCTAGAGTGTTAGAGCTGGGAGATACATTAAAGATTCTCTAACTCAGTTCTGTTTTATTGATTAGCAAATCGAGGCCTTGAGTGGCCCGTGGCAAGTAGAATCCAGTGACAGGACAGACTATCATCATTTCCTAGAGGATTTTATTTATTTATTTATTTTTTATTTAAAAAAAAAATTTTTTTTTTTAATTTATTTGACAGAGATCACAAGTAGGCAGAGAGGCAGGCAGAGAGAGAGGAAGGGAAGCAGGCTCCCTACTGAGCAGAGAGCCCGATGCGGGGGCTCCATCCCAGGACCCTGGGATCATGACCTGAGTAGAAAGCAGAGGCTTTAGCCCACTGAGCCACCCAGGCGCCCCTCCTAGAGGATTTTAATGTTGATCTCGTGTTTGCCAAAGATTTTGGCCTGAACAGCAGTCTTTAATGGGCATCCAGTTAATAAAACTGTTAAAGAATACTTGAAGCTACTCTGAAAATGTCATTAAATGTTTGGTATCAGAGAAACATTATTTATAAATAGGTATTATGACTCAGTTTTTCGGATGTTAGGAGCTATTTGTAGAAACTGCGTTATGTTTCGATTGTGATAATATCTTTATATCAAGCATTGCCAAATTGTTTTGTGGTAGTCACTTGGTCATTGGATTGTTGTAATGGATTCTTGAGCAAAGAAACTGTTTTAATTGGAATTTGTAAACCCTGCTTGCACATTAAAGGATACTTATCTATTCTTTATAAGGGGTTTTCCTTAACTCCAATTTTTTTTTTTTTTAAAGATTTTATTTATTTATTTGAGAGAGAGATCACAAGTAGGCAGACAGGCAAGCAGAGAGAGAGAGGGAAGCATGCTCCCTGCTGAGCAGAGAGCTGAGATCATGACCTGAACCAAAGGCAGAGGCTTAACCGACTGAGCCACCCAGGCTTCCCCTTAACTCCAATTTTAAGAAGGTTAAGGATCATGAAGAAATAGCCCGAGTGTTTAAAATTTTTCTTATGTCAAAATTTGAAAAAGGAGTTAGTTTAAAAAATTTAAATTTCCTTTACAATAGATACTGTAGCCTCGTTTAGTTATCTTGGAATTTAATTAACTAATACCTGGAATAATATTTTAATATAGTTCTCGTTAATTTAGTTCTCTCTTTCATTTATTTATGTGTTTTTTATTGAATTACAGTTGCCACAATGTTGTGTTAGTTTTAGGTGTACAGCATAGTGATTGAACTATGGAAGTGTTCTTTGATGTAAATATCAGGGATAAATGGCTCAAGGTAATGGTGAAACTTTATAACAGTGATCTCACTTTTCCTACTTAAATTAACATAGCTGCAGATCTGTAGGTGTGGTGCGTGCTTATTTGTTTCTGATTGTAAAAGTAATTGGCTTTTCAGTAAAGGTATAAAGAAAAAATGTTGAACTTCATGCTTGATGACACCACCCAGAGATAAATTGCTTTTACCACATTAATGCCATTTCTCTTTGAATATTCATTCTGTTTTGTAAATATTTTAATTTCCTGAAATATGGGCTTTAGAGTTAAGGGTCCAGAAAAATAATAGTGTTCACTTTATAGGCACCAGTCAGAAGACAGATGAAAGCTAAGCAGCTTAATGCACAATCCTATGGTGTGACCAGTTCAACAGCTCGGCGAATATTGCAGTCTTTAGAGAAGATGTCAAGCCCTCTAGCGGTAAATTTTTAGAACCACGATTAAACGCGGGTGTGTGACAATTTGAGTTTCGTGAAAAATCTTAATTTTGTTACTGTTTCAATATTAACAGGATGCAAAAAGAATACCATCTGTTGTTTCTTCTCCCCTGAATTCTGTAAGTTGACTTTTAAATCTCTTTTAGAGATATATTTGTATATATTGGTGATGAAAGTCATACTTTTCAAAATTTCCAATTTATTCTAATAGTATTTTTACTTTTTCAGCCTCTGGATAGGAGTGGAATAGATACCACTGCAGACTTTCAGGCCAAAAGGGAAAGGGTAAACCTTCTTCTGCATTTATTAAAGTTTCAGCAGTTTTGTTATATTTATTTTTAAGTTAGTAAATATACAAATTGAATTTGATAGTCATTAGGGAACATGTTTGAAAGATAAGATTGTTTTGCTTGGACATTATAGCTTCTTATGAGAGCCTGCCTTAGTACAGATCTGTAAGTGCAGTAAATGCTCAGTCATAATTTTTTGGTTAATTGGCATTTCCGTTTTCAGCATCTTGGTAGTCTACCTTCCGATAAATAAAAGAAGGAGTAAACAGTGCATGAAGTGTTTAGTAATCATAGAAGTTCAGTGAACTAAAACCCTCATTGAGCATAGTTAGCTTTGTAAACTTTCCTCATTAACAAACACGTCAAATCTGTGGTGTGTAATAGAATTTCAGATTGCTAGATCTTTCATAAGTCAGCCCAAAATACTGTTTCAAGGTATGGGAACTAATATAAAATATAAGTTAGTATCTTGATAACACTTCTTGTGTTCTATTTGGTAAAAATTAGCTTTGGAGATTACTCTGGGGGAAAATGAAATGCTTAATAGAGTTAAAGAGGTGTATTTTTTGTTAGTTATACTTGTGGCTAGTTAAGTATCCTTCGAGAAAGCAGATTCCCAGATCTTATTTGTGAAAGCATTTATTGCAACACCAGTTTCCCCCAGAAGTAACTGATAGCAAGAATCATAGTTTTCTGACTTAACTGTGGGAACTGTGTATAAGATACTGGTAAATTATAATTATTTTCACTGAAACTTTGCAGAGAAGGGGTAAAATTGAGGGGTATTGGGCGAATAGTGTTGCTTTACAGTTTTTAGGTGTTTGTAATCAGGCAAGAGGGAATCCATTATTAGCCGTTGTGATAGGATTAATTTATGGCATTAGCTGCTTTTCTCAAACTCCTGGTTTATATCAGGTTGTTTAAAAAGAAGTAAATGTAAAAAACTGCTGTAATACAAGTTCTCATTGATTAAAGTTTTATTAAAGGTTGAGTATAGTATCAATAGAATTTTATTAATGGATGTTAGGATATATAAAGGCCAGAATATAATATTGTAGTTCATGTTTCACAGATGTGATCAGAGCAGTCTGCAGAATAGACTCTCTCGTTGAGTTGTAATATCACAGTTGTGATGAGGATTTAGGGAAGAGCTAGAATACAGAGGCTTTGCCTTGGAAACCAATGTTGTTCACAGCTGTTTCAGAGTGAAAGGACTGTATTCATAGCATCACAGTGTTTGGACAGAGTAGAAGTTCTTGGCTTTATAGTCCTCTTACACCAATAGAACTTTTACTGTGTTTCCTTTTTGCAAAGGACTGTTGACAAAACACTTGTGTGCTTAGATAATAATGCCAGTTTATTTTAGGATTTGAAAATCTTAACAGAGTTTTACTCTGTTTTGCTTTAGTTTTTTAATAATAATAGAGGAAAATAAACTTGGAGAGAGGTTTGCTCATTTTTGGGCAACTATTTTCATAGCTAGTTTGTTTATTTTTTTTTTTTAATTTTTTTTAAGATTTTATTTATTTATTTGACAGAGATCACAAGTAGGCAGAGAGGCAGGCAGAGAGAGAGGAGGAAGCAGGCTTCCTGCTGAGCAGAGATCCCGATGCGGGGCTCGATCCCAGGACCCTGAGATCATGACCTGAGCCGAAGGCAGAGGCTTTAACCAACTGAGCCACCCAGGCGCCCCTCATAGCTAGTTTAAAAATAATCTTATTTCCAGTTGAAGGATATCTAAAAAGTAATTTGGGGAAAACATGGCAAAATCAGTTTTAGTTTCTGTATTCAAAATTCAAACTGTGAAAGCTTAGATTTGTAGAACAGTTTTGAATATAGTTTCCATTTTGTGCATGTGCACATATATGTGAAAAGTCATTCAGTCTAGAAAAAAATGGTCTGTGAAACCCATTTGGAATTTTTTATATAGGTTTATAAATATATATACCTTTGGTTCTGTTATTGTCAGTTTTTCCTTTTAGTGTTTGTTTGCATTCTCTGGGTATTTCTCTAAGAAGTACTTGTAGTCTCTAGGTGACATTAGCTATTGCCTGATAAGTTTTAGATATGTGCTGATACATACTTGAAAATAAAGGTTTGTCTTTGATTTCTGATTACCTATTAGGTGGACTCTCCGTATCCTCCTGTTCAGAGACTCATGACCCCAAAGCCAGTTTCCATAGCAAATCGAACTGTTTATTTTAAACCATCTCTGACCCCGTCTGGTGAATTAAGGAAGACTAATCAAAGAATAGATAAAAAGCACAGTGTGAGTATGTGTTTATTTTCACTCGTCTTTGAATATTGATTAAAATGAGTAAGAATAAGATAGAAGTACTCTACCATTGCAGTGTAGCAACTAGATAATGCAAAAGTTTGTGTGTTAGTGATTACAAATGGTATGCCTTTCAGATGGCTAGCACCTTGATCAAATCCGAAGTTAGTATTTACTAGTAACACTATTATGTACTTACGATTTAGATGAAATAATTTTGCTCAGAATTGCTTTATCTGTGTGTTTTGTTTGGATTATTGTTGAACTGTTTGAAAATAAAATGTCATGTATCTGTTCATCCCTAAAAGTACTGTGATGCGCATTTCCCATATGATAAAAGATATGATAAATCTTTTTTTCTATATTTATCATATATAGTTTTTCTATATTTATCATATCTGAAGAAATTGATGTCCGTTCCTTCTTAATATTATATAATATGTAGACCACACTCCCGTGTTGTTTATAGTTTTTTGAATCAGAAGCTAAGCAGATTTCACACATTGCTCTAGATCTCAGGCCTTGACCCTCACATTGTTTTTGTTTTAAAATAACTGCTTTATTGAGATGCGATTCACATACTGTACCATTCACCTGTTTGAAGAGTACCATGGTGCAGTGGTTTTTAGTATATTCAGAGTTGTTCAGTCATCAGAACAGTCGATTTTAGACCCTTGTCCTCCCCGTTCTCCCTCCCCTCCCCAAATCTACACCTGTTCGTAATCACTCCCCACCCCCTCCTCGCCAGCCCTAAGCAACCACTGATGTGTCTCTCTGGATTTGCTTCTTCCGGACATTTTGTATAAGTGGAGTTTTAAAATACGTGGTCCTTTGTGACTGACTGATTTCACTCAGCATAATGTTTCAAAGGTTCATCCGTGTCATCAGAACTTTATTCCTTTTTATGTGGCTGAATAATTCTTCCTTGTTTGGATATACTAGATTTTGTTTATCCTTACTTCAGTTGAGGGACCTTGGGTTCTTTTTATTTTTTGACTGTAATGAATAACACTGCTGTGAATGTTTGTGTATAGGTATTCTGTAGTCCTGTGTTGTCATTTTTCTGGGGTTTGTACCTAAGAGTGGAATTACTAGGCAAAATTGGTTTTTGAAGAGACCAGGACAGTTACCTAAAATGTCCTGTGTTTGGGTTTGTTTTCTTGGGCTATTTAGCTAGAGTGTATTTTTTATATTTATTGTATTTACATAGTATCTTACGTTTATGCCTTTACTTATCTTTAGTTTCCTTTGGTCTTCATAACCTAATTTATTAAAAATTTTCAAACTGAAGTTGAGAGAATAGTACAGTGTTTACCCATTACTCCTGCATTCACCAGTCATTAACACTTTGTCATATTTGCTGTATTAAAATTTTAAAAACGTTTTAAGAACAATGATAAGACTTCACGGTTTACTATATTTGTTCTTCCTTTACTGTGTATTTCTTATAGATAAGAAATTCCCTTAATGTAATAAATACAGAATAATTATCAAAACCAGGAACTTAATATTTTACAATACTATTATCTAATGTACAGATTTTATTTAGATGTTGCTAGTGTCTCAGAGGAAAAAAATTCAAGATTATGTATGCATTTAGTTTTCTTTCTTCCTTTCTTTTTTCTTTTTTCTTTTTTCTTTTTCTTTCCTTCCTTCTTTTCTTAGAAAATAAATTTTTTTTTTTTTTTAATTTGAGAGACAGAGAGAGAGAGAGAGCATGATCAGGGCAGAGGGAGGGACAGGCAGACTCGGAGATGAGCAGGGAGCCTGACGTGGGGCTTGATCCCAGGACTCTGGGATCATGACCTGCGGTAAAGGCAGATGCATATCCCACTGAGCCCCCGACATACCCCTGCATTTAGTTTTCATATCTCTTCATCTCCTTTAGTCTAGAACAGTTCCTTAGGGTTTTTAGTTTGTTTTTTGTATTTTGTAACATTGGTATTTCTAAAGTACAAATAAGTTACTGTGTAGAATGTCCTACAGAATGTGTAATGTTTCCTCATAATTAGATTCCAGTTACATCCTTTTTATTTTATTTTTCATTTTAGAGTGTGTGCAAGCACGAGGAGGGGCTGAGGGAGAGGGAGAGAATCTCAAGCAGACTATGCACTGAGTGCGGAGCTTGACTTGGGGTTTGATCTCAATGACCCTGAGATCATGACATGAGCTGAGACCAAGAGTCAGGTGCTTAACAAGCTGAGCCGCCCAGGGGTCCCCCAGTTATGTACTTTTGGTAATAATATCAAAGAATAGATGCTGAGTTCTTCTCAGCCTGTCCTCTCAAAAAGCACATGCTATCAGTTGATCTCAGTACCAGCAGTATTATTATTAAGGTGGTGGTAGTAGGATTTCTCCAGTGTAAAGTTACTATTTTTTTTAATCTTTTGTAATTAATAGGTATATTGTGGGTAGATAACTTTGAAAGGATAAATATCCTTTTAGTAGTTAATATTATTGGTGATTTTTGCCTAAATCTATTGTTTATAGATTGCCAAAGGGTGGTTTTCTAACTCCCCCATTCTTTCTACATTTATTAGTTGACATCCTCCTGGAGGAGAAGTTTTTCTTTTTTCTCATTTATGTGCCTATCTGTGTATGTGTTTTTTTAAGTCAGCCTTATTTCTCACATTCTATAGATTATAGTTCTTTATTGGTATTATTATGATGTTCATATTGTGCCATTTGGCCTTTGAACTGGCTCCTATGTCCTTTTTGTATTTCCCTTCAGTTTTTGAACACTTAGTTGCTTTTGATATAAAAGAATCAAGGCTCGAGGTATCTGAGTGGTTCAGTCAATTAAGTATCCAACTCTTGGTTTCGGCTCAAGTCGTGATCCTCGGCCTTGTGGGATTGAGCCATTAGTGGGGCTCTGCAACCAGCAGCGGGTCTGCCTGAGGTTCTTTCCCTCTCCCTCTCCCCCTCCTCTCTCTCTCTCTCTCTCTCTTGCTCTCAAATAAAAAATGTCAAAAAAAAAAAAAATTCAAGTTCATCTTGTAAGTTTCAGGTCCCTGCCTTGTATTTTGCTCTTTCTCCAAAGAGCCATGATATCCTTTCAATGGAGGTACTTAAATTGTAGAGAATCATTTCATAGAGAATGTCCTTATAAACTTGCTTATACCTTTAATAGGCCATCATGAGAGATGGGTAGTAAAAGTATTTCTGTGGTTTCTAAGTATATTAACTTTGTACACTTACTACCTTTTTGTTCAAAGGGCAGTGTGCTCAGTGACCTTTTATGTGTGTAATCACGTACTTCAGTTACCATTCAGAAAGCAGAGTATAGGTCACAAGTTTTAGGATTCACTAACTAAAAACCCATCAAATTTCTGATTGCAAATATTAAAATGGACGGACAAAAGGGAAGTATTCAGAAAATTAAAATGAAGAAGCAGGCATGTAAATTTGCTGTGCTCATTTTGTTCTAGACCGGGTATGAAAAACCTGTGACGCCAGGACAAACTAGAGAACAGCGAGAAAGGTAATGTCGTCTTTATAGCTAAAGCTTCCTTATATTTCATTTGTAATGCCTGTTTTTATGTATTTTTTTCTGACATTTAAGAAGGTTAAAAACCAAACTTCATGCACAGAAATCTGTCACCTTTTTAAAATCACATTCAGCTGTATATTTCTTTTCTTGTTAGCAGTTCTAATTTTTAGGTATTCAGTTAGTTAATAAGTTATGAACCAGAGTAATATATCATTTGTTTTAATTTTCTTTTTCTTTGCCTAGTGGCTTTTCTTATCCAAATTTCAGTATGTCTGCAGCCAATGGTTTATCTTCTGGAGTAGGTAGTGGAGGCGGCAAGATGAGACGAGAGAGAACGCACTTTGTTCCATCTAAGCCTCCGGAGGAGGAGGTAAGGTTCTATCCTTCATATTCTTGAAGTTTATGGGAAACTCTGGTGTGGTGGTGAGGGGAGACCCTAAAGGGTGGGGCTTGGGGGAGACCCAGCATAAGAACGACTACTCTGCCATTGGAGCAGTCCCTTCCCAGTGTGAGTGTGCATGCACATACGTGTGTTCAATACCTCCTTCACTGTGACGACACAGAAAACCTAACCTAGGACCTTAAACCCCATGGGTGCCGCTAAAAAGCCATAATTTTTCATATAAGAGAATTAACAATTGAAATTATTTGACCTTGGGAATATTATTGTATCATTAGGTAGGTTTTGCCTGTTTCATAAATGGATTAACTGTGTTCTGCTCTCTTGACATTTTCTTCATATTATTTGTGAAGCTTATCAGGGTTGTGAAAGGTAATTCAAGTTGTGTAATTTCACTGTTACAGATTTATCCAATCTGAAAATTTACCCCACCCTGTTCTGCAGGGTACCTGTGGGTTGAGTCCTGACACGTGCTGAGGTGAATGTGTGTGCACTTCTGCTTCGGCACGTGTGGTGTATTCTCTAGGCTTTTTCTAGAATGGCCTCGTTGGGTTCTAAGGGATGATACACATCTTCACACGTGGTGTTGCCCTGTTGCTCCTGAAGGTAGTTTAAATACTTCCTTGCACATGACAGTTGGTGGATATGCTTTTTCTTCTTTCTTATGGGTACTTTTTTTTTTTTTTAAGTCTTTGCCAAGGTGATGGGTTTGAAGTGTTACGCCATTGGACTTTCATTTTGCATTTCCTGTTTACAAGGGAGGGAACCCTCTTGTGAGTCTCTTGGTCATTTGGGGTTTTTATTCATTTTTTATGGATTGTTTCTTTCATTGGGAAGATTTTTTTGGAAAGATTTCTGTATATATTCTGCAAATGAAAGTTTGAAAAAGATAGGACTAGTTGAAGATTGGGTAAATTAATCTTTCTACAGGCTGTATTTTCTAACTACTTGGAGTTGACTGCAGGCCTTCTTTCAATCTTTTTACAAGTGAATTTCAGCCTAACTGGATCATTTGATACATAATGCTTTATTTTTTGTTTGTTTCTAATTAAAATTTCATTTGTAACTTCTTCATTGACTCATGAGTTTTTAAGGAATTTTTAGATTTTTAAACAGGAGGTCTTCTCTAACAGTTTCTGTTGACTCTAAAGTCATGTTTTGGTTGAAACTGTACAAGTCGGTACTGCTTTCCTTCTTGTCTCTTGGTGTGTTTTCCAAGGTTATTTAGAGTAGGCAGTCTATTTTGTTTTCATTTCCTTCATCATCCCTTTTCCCATTGGGCAGTTTGGTAGTTGTGCCTCTCTGAAGGTACCAGAACCGTGACTGCTTTGGCCACTTGGACTTTCTGCCCCCTGGGCTGTCTCACGGTATATGGCATTATGCTGGGGGCTCGGCTCCTGGACTGGTCTAGGGGTTCTTTTGTTTTGTTTTGTTTTTTGTTTTTTTTTAAGATTTCATTTATTTATTTGACAGACGAAGGTCACAAGCAGGCAGAGAGGCAGGCAGAGAGAGAGGGGGAAGCAGGCTCCCTGCTGAGCAGAGAGCCCGATGCGGGACTCGATCCCAGGACCCTGAGATCATGACCTGAGCTGAAGGCAGAGGCTTAACCCACTGAGCCACCCAGGTGCCCCTGGTCTAGGGGTTCTATGTGTTGCTCTCCTGCTGGAGTGTTGTGAAGGGAAGGAATGTATTAATGTATTCTCTTATTTTGAAAGCAAAAGTATTGAATGCCATTAATGACACAGTATAACAAAATTTGTAGCTTTCTTAACCGATTTTCTTTTATTGAAGCTCTTTATGTAAACTTACTTTTAAGAAATGGGTTGTCTTGCTTTATGTACGTAAGGAAATTAGTATCTGTGGATAATATAGCTCATTGTATAGCCTGTTCTTTACATGAGCTTTTATATTTCTCAGTAGAATTTGTGTTTCTAGCTTTCTGAAGTTTATCCCTTGATGAGGAAAACATCTTGGTTTGTTGTTTGCCAGATAACAGATTTGTGAATTTTGCTTATTTCTGTTCAGTTTCAACTTTTTAAGAATATATTCCCACGATCTTTAGCTGAAGTTTAGGTTGCTGTCTGTGGTTTGGTTTTGGCTGTCTTACAGTTGTGTGTTTATGTGACTTTGCTCTATCAAGATGTTGGGAGGGGGATGAAAATTTATTGATTTACTTTTACTCTTGTTACTTGGTATACTGTGAGGAGCTTTATCAAAGTCTAACCCTGCAGACCTCTTTATCACCTCCTCCCTTCTCTGCCCCCTCTCCATTCCGGCCAACTGCCAACTGCCAACTTTGCATCCCAGGATGCCTCCCCCAACTCCTGTCCCTAGTTCTATTCTACACTGGAGTTAGAGTCTCTGCGTTTCTGAGGAGAGAGGTACCAATGGGAGGCTGCCCCAAATTTCTGCCCACCCTGTGTTTTTTTAATCTACATAGAAGGGGTTTGGGGTGGATGCTTTTTATTTTGTTTTCAGTGCTGGTTTTGTTTCAGATAACGAATATGTTTAGACCACTAGTTCTTAATTCAGTTACAGTTAATAGGAACTTTTGATTAAGGATGGAACACTCGTTTTTATGGCTATTTTAATGGGCTTTTGGGATAGGTCAAATGAAAGAAATTTTATTTTTAGTGGAGTATAAACAAATTATGCTGATTTTAGGTACTGTTGGTATGTAACAGAGAGTGCTGGTACATTTTGATTCACTTCAACAACCAGGTTAAACAGAACTTTATATTGTAAATAACCCATTTTGCATTATGAGATAGTAGAAGTATGGTTTTGCTCTCATTTCTTGTTAGATCTCAAAATGTGTAAGGATTGTGTGTTAGTCACTGAACATTTTGGCATTTTGCCTCTACTGTGATACCGGTTTGATTTTTATAATGAAAAAGCTTATTGATAAAGAGCAATGAGTATATAATACTGTTGAGCTGTGGAGATTTAATTGCTTAATATTGTCATGTCAGGTACAGGCCTGCTACTGACGGACTATGAATGATGTTGGTCAAATTAATTCTTTTGTACATCAGCTTGTCTGTAAAATGGAGATAAGAAAAATAAATAGATTGAGTTTGTGTCTATGGGATGTGTGCCATTTAATGGCTATATGATCTTAGACCAAACATCTCCCAGTAGAAACTTCCTCATGGGAGATAACCAGTGTAAAGATACTACAGAGGTAATATATAGTAAGTCACATATTTGGTGATTGTTGTGTTCAACTTGAAGTACCTGGAAGCATCTAATTATAATTTTTAACTGTCTTGTAGACTTGGGGGCCCCACTTCTGATCAACTAAGTCAAAATTTTGGTGAATAGGAATCAAATTTAGAACTTGTTCAAGGTCAATGATATAAAGAACCAGTATGGCCAAGTCTGTGGCTTAATGAGTTGGCATAAGTAAGACACAGGTTATTCAGTTGATGTGGTGTTGTATGGGTCTAAAAGGAAGATCAGATGAAAATTCCCTATGGAAAGAGCCAAATGCATCTTTGTTTGCTTCTGCTCCCCTCTCCCAATTTTGATATATACCCCGAATACTTCAAACTACAGTCAAATATTTGTTGTTTTATAATTGAGCAAAAATTTCTATGTAGTAAAATGTTAAATTCTTAGGTGTAACCATTTAATGAATTTCACAAATGGTTATGCCTGTGTAACCCTAACCCTTTTCAAAGTGTCACACGTTTCTGTTGCTCCAGAAACTTCCCTCGTGCTCCTTCCCAGTCAGTACTCATCACCTCCTACTCCAGAGGCAATCACTCCTCTCATTTCTTCTGTCCTGTGTTGGTGGTGCTTATTCTAGAATTTTCGTTTCAATACAATTGTCCAGGGTGTGTGTTCTTTTGTGCCTGGCTGCTATGAATAAAGCTGCTGTGAACATGCTTACAGGGTTTTTTAGACATGTGTGTATTTTCTTGGGGTAAATCACCTAAAAGTGGAGGTGCTAGGTTGTATGATACGTGTTTCACTTTTTTATAAAAAGATTTATTTATTTATTTAAGTAATTCCCAAGCCCAGCGTGGAGCTTGAACTCACATCCCCAGGGTCAAGAGTTGAATCCTTTTTCAGCTGAGCCAGCCAGCTCCCCCCAATATGTGTTTAACTTGAAACTGCCAAACTATTTTCCAAGATGAATAATATTGTACACTCTCACCAACAATGTATGGACATTTCTTTCACTCTTCATCCTTATTAAGTTGTCATCTTTTTAATATTATCCATTCTGCTTTGTATATGGTGCTGTTTCGTTGTAATTTTAATTTGCATTTCCCTGATGCAATGATGTTGTATTCTAGTTTATGTGCTTATGGGCTGTGTGCTTATTACCAATCCTTTTTGAGGTGTCTTCAGGTCTTTCGCCCTTTTAAAAATTGGGTTTTCTTATTGAGTTGTGGGAGTTCTTTATAAATTTGGATCCAGATACTTTGTCAGATACATGTCTTATATTTTCTCTCAGTCTGGCTTGCATATTCATTTTTTTAACAGTATCTTTTGATTAGCAGGTGTTCTGAATTTATCCTTTTTTAAAAAAATTATTTTTTAAAGATTTTATTTTTAAGTTATCTCTGGCTCCTATGTGGGGCTCAAACTCACAACCCTGAGATTAAGAGTCCCATGTTCTTCCTGCTGAGCCAGCCAAGTGCGACGTTATTTTTACTGTTCCTTCTGTCCTAAGAAACCTTTGTCTGTCTCTAGGCAATTCTGTGTTTTATTCTAGAGGACAGTAGTGTTTTTATGTATCTTTCTGATTTCCTTTTTGATTTCTTATATGATCTGTGGGTTATTTAGAACTGGGTTTAGCTGTGATATTGTTTTCAAATGTATTGACACTTGTTTTGTAGCCCAGCATATGGTCTGCCTGATGAACCTTGAAGCCTGTATTTTAGGTTTTCGGGTACTGTGTTATATAAGGTGTCCGATGACTGATCGTATTTCTTAGATCTTCTTTGTCTTTGCTGAATGTTTTTTCAGTGTGTGGGTGGGGTGTGTCGTTTTAATCTGTCAAATTGTTGAGAGATAGGAGTTAAAATTGTCCACTTCCATTTGGTGAACTTGTCTTTTCCTATTATGTCCATTTTTATTTTACATGTTTTGAAGCCCTCGTTAAAGTGTGTACCTTACGCATTGTGGTTCCTCAGTTTCCTCTTAATATTACTAAATGTTCTTTAAAAAAAAAAAAAAAGTCTGTGCAAGTATTCTTTGTCTAGAAAATCTCCTATATCTGGTAATCTGTTAGTAGAATAAGGCTTCTTAAGTTTATGAATTGTAGGTTGTATCTTTTTCCATCTGTTTGCTTTTAGCCTATATCTTTTTAAGTGAGTTTCTTGAAGATGATATATGGGTGTCTTGCCTTTTATTTTTTATTTTATTTTATTTTTTTTAAAGATTTTATTTATTTATTTGACAGAGATCACAAGTAGGCAGAGAGGCAGGCAGAGAGAGAGGAGGAAGCAGGCTCCCTGCCGAGCAGAGAGCCTGATGCGGGGCTCGATCCCAGGACCCTGGGATCATGACCTGAGCTGAAGGCAGAGGCTTTAACCCACTGAGCCACCCAGGCGCCCCTGTCTTGCCTTTTATGTATTTTTTTGCTTTTTAATTGGAATATTTATAATTAGTGTCATTATTTATATGGTTGGATTATGTCTCCCATTTTTCTCTGGTTTTCCCATTTGTTTTTTGTTCCTTTTGAAAGCTGTCTTCTTTTGGTTAGTTGACTATTTGTTAGAATTATATTTTAATTACTTTGCTCTTTATCTCTACCTCTTCATGTTACTTAGTGGTTCCTTTTGAGATTATGTTATGTCCTTAACTTTCACATTCTACTTTGTGTTCATACTGTACCGCTTCCTGAGATATTTAAGAATCTTGCAACTTTCCATAGTTTGATTTGCCTCCCCTCTTCTTTGGTATTTTAGATTATACTTGTTGTCATCTGTATTAAAATTAGATAGGCTATAAACTCTCAGCATCTAATTTTCACTTTCTTTGGTTGTATGTATTTTCAAGAAATTAAGAGGAATACAAGTTTTTTGTGTTTGCTCACATACCGTTCATTTCTTCCAGAAACTTGAGTTCCATTTGGTATCCTATCCCTTCACCCTGGAGAACTTGTAGAACAGGTTTTATGGCAATAGATTGTCTTAGTTTTCTTTTATCTGAAAGCATCTTTATTATTCCTTTGGGGAGAGGAGGGCTTCACTTTACAGAGGTGTGATTGATGTACTGTAAAAGACATCCATTTGAAATACTCAGATAGTTTTAGCCAGCAGGAACTTTCTCAAGTCACATACTTCCCACTTGTGGGTGGCAGCTGGAACTCTTCAGTCTCAGTTGGCTGCTCGGTGTGTGCCTTACATGCGAGCAGCTTACACGTCTGCTAGAAATTTGGACAGTTTACGTGCAGATTTATATGCTCCTCATTGCCGCATTTCTCCCTCATTTTCTCTATCTATGGTCACTTATTCCGTCCTCTAATTCCTCCGTGAACAGATTTGCTTTTCTCTCAGAATTTCAACTATGCAGAGGCACCAATTCACAGAGTACAGGAAACTCACTCCGTGCCCCCCTCTTCTTCCAAGTGCTTTTTTTTTAATCTCTGTAGTTCCTGCTGCTTCTGGTTGCCCTCCAATGTTTCCAGATGGTTGTTTCTTTCTATTCTGTTCAGATTTTAAAATTGTTATATGTCAGGTCCTTGGTCAGATAACGAACTACTCCACCATTAGCAAAAGTAGAGCTCTCTTTGTTTGCCCTTAACCTGGGTTGTTTGAGATTTGGGATGGTCTTTACTATATTGGAGTAAAAAAACCAAGGCATTTCACCAAATTAACCAGTACTGATGTTTATTAAATGTTTATTCTCTATGCTGAGCCCATATATAACTTTATGTTTTAAATTAATACTACAACTATTTTTTTTGTTTGTTTGTTTGTTTTTTTCCTCCGTTTGAGCCATCAGGAAGTTGGTGCTGAGGGCAGTTAGGTTTACAAAGCCACCATATCTGGTAGCACAGCTGGGATCCAGATCTTTTCAGGTCTTTTGATTCAGGAGCCCACGCTGGTAACCCTGTATGGTCCTACCTTCATCCCATTCCCAGTTTGCCTGTAACTATAGCAGTTCTTCCTGAAAATAAGTAGGGATAGAACAGTGACATGAAAGATGAAATCTATCATTATGAAACCTGTTGTGTTTTAGGAAATGGAAGTACCAGTATTGCCGAAAATCTCTCTACCCATCACCAGTTCTTCACTGCCTACCTTCAATTTTAGTTCCTCTGTGATCACAACGTCCTCTCCATCACCCATTAGTTCTTCACAATCATTAACAAACAAGGTACAGAACCATTATACAAGTAGAGGTGATTTTTGTTCTTTATTTTTAAAAATTTAATATTCTGTTAAAAGCAATGTTAAGTTCTTGCTCTGGAAGTTAATAACTCAGACTAAGAAGAGAAAAATGGAAATGGTGCTTTGCTTTTTTAAAATGTATGTTATAAAAGGCTACATTATAATGGAGTGTTTTTTAATTCTGATTTCATGCCTTAGAGACTGATGATTTTGTTTCCAAACATTGTTTCCAATTAAGATGCTTTTTTTTGGTAAGAATGAGGTTATTGTTTTTATTTCTCTGGTAGGATTAACTGCTCCTGAAATGTTTCATGCTTTTGCCTTAGCTTTTTTTTCTGAAAGTATTCTTATAGGTGTTTTTTTTTTTCCTTTAAGCAGATACTCATTTCTAAGATAGAGTATATTCCTTTCCCAAGGAGAAGCCAGATTTTATAGCAGTTACAGTTTATTTTTAAAAAATTTTAACAATTGATTTTTATTTTTATTTTTTTTTTAGAAGATTTTATTTTATTTTATTTTATTTATCAGAGAGAGAGAGGGAGAGAGAGTGAGCACAGGCAGACAGAATGGCAGGCAGAGGCAGAGGGAGAACCAGGCTCCCTGCCGAGCAAGGAGCCCGATATGGGACTCGATCCCAGGACGCTGGGATCATGACCTGAGCCGAAGGCAGCTGCTTAACCAACTGAGCCACCCACGCGTCCCTAGAAGATTTTATTTTAAAGTTATCTCTATGGCCCATGTAAGGCTAGAACTCAGAACCCCAAGATCAAGACTTGCATGCTCTGCTGACTGAGCCAGCCACGCACCCCTTAACCAGTGATTTTTAAATCTAAAAGGAAGTTGTGTTTGGGTTCTTTAAAATAATTAATTTAAAGTTATTTTATTGTCAATTTCTTTCTCTAAAAAATAAAAAGCTTTTTATATTTTAATAATTTGGAAAACCAGGTACAAATGACCTCTCCAAACAGCACTGGCAGCCCCATGTTTCGATTTTCATCTCCAATTGTAAAATCTACTGAGGCAGATGTACTACCTCCATCATCTGTAAGTAGCAAGCAGGGAATGTTTCATATTTATTTTTTATCAAAACCGAGATGCCATTGGGGTAAGAAATAACATTGTTTTTCTTTCAACTTAAAACAAATTTCAGTGTACAGAGAATTTGAATGAACACCTATTTATTTTCCACTACGTATATATACATATAAGCATATATATTTTCTCATGACCATTTGAAGGTTAAGATACGAACCTCTTGATACCCTTATAGCTCTTCCATATGTCCCCTAAGAAAAAGGACATTCCTCTGCATACCTGCAGTATAGTTATCGTATCCATGACAATTAACATGATATAATAACAACAACATAGGCCATATTCAGATTTTCCCCCATTGCCCTATACGGTCCTTTAATTACTATTTTGTTTCTCTTGGGCCTACATCCAATTAAGATCAGGACCTAATTAACTAAATTGCGATTGCATTTGGTTAACGTGTTTCTTGAATTGCCTTTAATCTGGAGAAGTTTTGGGTTTTTATGCCTCAGAGTATGTATTTGTTTCTTTCTTTGTAGTTAAATATTTTGGGGAGATAATAAGTTTAATGTTTGAGTTGCCCCATACATCTTTGGCATGCATATCATTTTTACATGTTGCCTTCTCTTTTTCACTATGCTCTCATTTTCTGTCACAGCTGGATGTTCCAGATCATTTTGTAGTTTCCCTGTCGCATGCCTGAAACCTGTTCCATTGTCCATAAAGTCTCCTGCTTTTTATTAGAAAATGGTATTTAGAAATCCAGAAATGACCTTTAGGAGCACATAATTATTTTATGTACTGCTTTGAAGGAAAAAAAAAATGCCTAAGAAATGAAAAATGCTGTTTGATAGAACACACCATTCATTCTAAGAAGCATCTCAATTTTAGAGATTGTAAAATGTGAAAACCTGGAATACATGAAATTTGGTGGTTTTTTTTGTTTGTTTTTGTTTTTGTTTTTGTTTTTTTTTGACTTGGAATAAGAAAAAGCTACTTGATACTCATTTAAAACTAAATAGACTCTTAAAGGATACGTTTTCTTTTTTATAGATTGGATTTATATTCAGTGTGCCTGTTGCAAAAACAGCAGAACTTTCTGGCTCTAGTAGTTTTTCAGAACCAATTATAAGTACTAGTTCAGGTAAGTAAGAATTTCTCACAAGTTTTTACGTAAAAATAGTTGCATTACATTACATTAGTATTCCAAATTCTTTAATCCTTAGCAATTCTTGTAAATGTTTTTATTTGAATGAAGTTAGCTCTAAAAAGCAAACAGGAGCTAATACCAACCCTTGGCAATATTTTTAGTCTCTGTTTTTAGAAACACTTAGCTCACTAAATGGAAATGTTACAGTTTGGTTGTGACAGGGATTGTTATGGCAGCACATATATTCATTGTCTTTGTTTAATTAAAATAAGGTGATAGTTTAATATAAATGAAGTATTTCTAAGAAATTGAAGAGTTGTCTGTATTATTGAGGTGAAGTAGAATTGCAGTGGATTCTATCTCTAGGCTTAGTGTTCAGTTCACAAACATTTTTATGCGTTAAGGGTTATGCCGGCCTGTGCCGATAGTGATACATAATTTCAAGGAATGGGTGTAATTGAGGGAAAGAAATGAGTCATCAGAAAATTAAATCCTAGCCTTTTGTTGCGGTAGTGGTTGTTTTCCTTGCAAGTGTTTGCTGTTTAGGAAGTGGGGAATCATCTGGGCTAAAGATACTCAGGTCAAGAATTTCTGAGCAAGGGCATTTTACTCAAGAGATGAACAGCAAATGCGAGGGTGTAGGAATTAGAGAAAAAAACATGATAGTCTTTGAAATCTGTAGGTAATTTGTCATGCAGTTAAAAAATAGCTTTAAACTATAAAAATTATTGAATTTACACTAAGGAATTGGATTTTAATCTGAATGTAGTAGGAAGATGTTGAGTGATTTTAAATGGGGTGAGCTGGGTGTCAATGGACTGACAGCAGTGCCCATTGTGGGGGGGGGCATGGTTGGGAGTGGGGTTTTATAGGCTGAAATACCAGTTAAGTTCTTTTGCCCTATCCAGAAGTGTTTGTTTGACTCTCTTAGTTGTTTTTTTTGTTTGTTTGTTTTTTTTTTTAATCCCATAGTTTTGGAATTAAAACAAACTAGATCCTCCCTCAAAGGATAGAGTAAAAAATCAACAAAGCGAAAGAGCTAGGACATAGACGCTGGATGTTCTAGCTTTGGTGGAGCTGGAAGATAAGAGTAAAGATTGTGAGAGTGGCACAGCATAGGGATTTGTATGTTGCAGTCCTGTGTTTTATTGATTAAAACAGCCTTGTGTAAGAGAAAGAAGTAACAAGCACATTTCAGGTGTACTTTCTACCACAAGATTTTTTTCTTTAATGTTACTAAGAATTCATTGAGAAATAAACTTATTCAAATTACCATTTTCATGCCTGGTTAATTTTTTATGCCAGTTTTTATTAATGCGATTCTAACGGTAACTGGATGAGCAGTAATTTGTTAAAACAACTTTCGTGTCATTACATTTGGGGGAGTTATCCAGATTTTTAAGGCATTTTTTAGGAGTGGCATACCTAGAATTGAGAGTGATTCTCAGCACTTCTGTCATTAAGAAGCTGATTGAAAATGTGTAAGTGTAAGTCATGATTAATTACATTGTGGCAGGAGCTGACTTTTCCAGTTTGAGTACACTGCAGGGTATCTTTAAAATTGCCTTAAGTTACTAAAAGCATGTCCGTTTTGATTCTAAAGGAGGATAGACTGTGTTGAAGTGCTACAAGCATATGTTTTGTTTAGCCCTCCCCCGGGCCCCCCCTTTTTTTTGTTAAAGATTTTATTTATTAGAGAGCAGCAGAGACTACAAGCAGGGTGGAGAGGGAGAAGCAGGCTTCCCGCTGAGCAGGGAGCCCCATGCGGGGCTCCATCCCAGGACCCTGGGATCATAACTTGAGCTGAAAGCAGCGGCTTACTGCCTTCACTCAGATGCCTGCATATGTTTTGTTTTGACACAGTTATGAGGTAGGCACAATGTTTTGTTGTTTATTTTTGTTCCTGAGGTGAAATCGAGGTAAGGTAAAATGAATCCTTTATAAAGGGAACAGACTCCGTTGTGTTGAGTACGCTGGCTGTGTGCAGCGAGTCACTCACTGCAGTCTGTCTCGTTCCAAATAGTTTTATCCCTACTCCTGCAGAAGAGACCTGTACCTGCTAAACAGTCCTTCTGCATCTCTCCTCCCCCCGGGGCCCGGCAACCGCCCGTCGCTGTTTTGTTTCATTGTATGTGCCCATTCTGGAATCATGTAATAGGACTTTTTGTGTCAAGCTTCTTTTACTTACTGTTTTCAAGGTTCATGTATATGACAGTATGTATCAGGAATACACTCCTTTTTTATTTTTTTTGGTATTTATTTTTAGGATTTATTATTTATTTATTTGCTTCTTTCTTTAAGTGGGTTCCATGCCCAGTGTGGGGCTTAAACTCATGATATTGAGTTTGAGTCACATGCTCTACCGACTGAGCCAGCTAGACGCCCCAGTACTTGACTCTTTTTGTGGCTGAATGATATTCCGTTCTATGGATGTACCATAGTTTTCTCTTCATCCATTGATGGATATTTGGGCTATTTGCAGCTTTTGGCTGTTGTCCATAGCGCTGGTGTGAAGATTTGTACGCACGTATTTGTTTGAATGCTAGTTTCCATGCTCTGGGATATATACCCAAATGGTAGTTCTATGTGTAATTTTTTGAGGAACCACAACGCTGTTTTTCTCAGCCTCTGATCCTTTCACACTCCTCATAGCAGTGTATGATGCGTCTGATTTCTCCACATTCTCACCATGCTTCTTTTTCATTTGTTTATACCCATCCTTAGTGAGTTTGAAATGATGCTTCCGTTGTGGTTTTGATTTGCATTTCTCTAATGACTAATGGTGTCAAGCATATTTTCATGTGCTTTTTGGTCCTTTACCCTCTTGGGAGAAATGTCTATTCAAGTCCTTTCCCCATTTCTAAGTTGGTTTACCTTTCTGTTGCTAAGATGTAACCATTTTTATATAGTCTGGATACTAGATCCTTATTAGATACATGATTTGCAAATAATTTCTCCCATTAAGTAGATTGTCTTTTCACTTTTTTGATAATGTCCTCCACAAAGGTTTTAATGTGGTGGTGGTCAATTTTTTTCTTTGTTTATGCTTTTGATGGCGTATCTAAGAATTCATTGCCAAATCCATTGTCCTGACAATACCTTCTTTGTTTTCATCTAAGAGTTTTATCATTTTAGTTCTCACATTTAGATCATTGATCCATTTTGGGTTAATTTTTGTTTTATGACATGTGGTAGGATTTTTTGAAACTACTTGACCCACTCCTTTTAAATTGGCAAATGCTTACGAAAAACCTGGTTATTTATATTTTATTACAGAAAATTTCAAACATTTTAAGAAGTAGTAGACTGAATTCCCATGTACTCTTGACCCAACTTTGGCACCTAGCATTTTATAACCAGTCTTGTTTCTCTTTTCTCTCATTCCTCCCTCTCCAGCCCGGAAACACACCTATTAGTTGTATTGAAACAATCCCACACATACTTCATTTGTAAAACCTTCTCCCTTAGAAATAGAACCACAAAGCCAGTATCGTACTGAAAATACAGATTTCTTATTTTAAGTATAAGAATATGTTTGTTTTGGAAAGCTTAGGAAACCTAAAAAGAAGCAGCAATAAAAGTCAGTCATCACTATTGGCCACAATTAGTCTTTTGATGTATCATTCAAAGTCTTTTGGACTTTATAGTCTTTACCTATAACTGCATTTAAGGATGATTTTTGTGGCCACACAGCATGGCACCCTGCTGTTCTGTGATCACTGTTCTGTGATTGATGTTCTCAGATAGTTAGCATCTGTCATCCAGGTTTTCAATATGAAAACGGAAGGATCCTTTCTTTTTTTCTTTTTAAAGATTTTATTTATTTATTTGAGAGAGTGAGCAGGAGCAGAGGGAGAATCAGACTCCCCGTTGAGCAGGGAGGCCAATATAGGACTGGATCCCGGGACCCTGAGATCATGACCTGAGCTGAAGGCAGATGCTTAACTGACTGAGCCACCCAGGTGCCGGAAAACTGAAGGATACTTTGAATCATAGGATGAATTTCTAGAAATGAAAGAACTGGCTCAGTTTGGGAATTTCTTGTTAAGGTTTTTTGATCAGTCTTGTAAATTGTTGCGTAATCAGAAACATATTTCATGCAGTTTCTGAGCCTGCTCCCGTTGCCATCTCTTTTTTAGCATTTCAGTGCGGTTTTCTTGATTACCAGTTAGTTCCCAGTGAGGGATGATCTTATGTACAGTTTATACTTTCTGCCCTTTTGGGAAATACTGTTTCTACTTTCTTATAATGGTTAACCCTTAAGTTTTAAGTAAATTTATGCATTTAAATTTATTCATTATCTTTGAGTTACAGTGACTTTTTTCATGATACTTTAGAAGTTGGTCCAAATTGGCTTTGAAAGATCTTTTTAATACATTTAACTCAATCCAGTGCTTTTTCTTGGCATAATGTCTTTTACATTTAAAAAAATTGCAGCTCAAGATATCAGTGCAGTGAATAGTACAAGCTGTAAGAAGAAGCCAGATGAAGATTGTGAGGGCCCTTTTAGACCTGCAAAAACCCTGAAAGAGGGAAGTGTTCTAGATGTTCTCAAAAGCCCTGGTAAGTTAACAGCTGCCTTTGAAAATACTCTAAAATCTTAAGTACAAATTGGTGGTCTTATTTTAATGTTGTCTGTGGTATCCTTTAGGTGTTTAAAAAATTATGGCTAGTTTGATAGGAGATTGACTTGAAAGTAGTCATAGTCAGATGTAATTCTTTTGAAGTACCTTAGATATTCTCCTTTAGAATTCAGATCTCTCTCTCTCTCTTTTTTTTTTTAAGATTTTATTTATTTATTTGACAGAGAGAGAGATCACAAGTAGGCAGAGAGGCAGGCAGAGAGAAAGGAGGAAGCAGGCTCCCTACTGAGCAGAGAACCCGATGCGGGGCTCAATCCCAGGGCCCTGGGATCATGACCTGAGCCGAAGGCAGAGGCTTTAATCCACTGAGCCACCCAGGTGCCCTAGAATTCAGATCTCTTAAGAGGCAAGTATAGCAGGAGAAGAAGAGGGAAGTGTAGAAGGAGAAAATGAATTGCCTTTTAGTAGCGATAGGCCAATATGAGGGGAAAAAGAGTAAATAAACCTGATTATACACCTGGGCATATCTTTCTCTGATGGTAATGTTAAACTGCCTTGTTCTCAGATCATTGCCTAGTTCTTTCTGGGCAATGAAAGAAAGAAAATATTTGCTGATCCCAACATAGGTATATGTAAGGGACTGTGCTCACTTGAAAAGAAATTCGAGAGCTCATAGAAATAACTTGAAGGCAGTGACTAGAAGTCCTCAGTAAGTTTTCAGTGTGGAAATCAGGACAGCTGCGACTGCGATTGTGATGTCTGCTACAGGGATGTAAACATGTTTATAACGTGATGTGGTTGCTCAGAGAGAATTTGGATTTACTGAGCAGATAGACACGTCTAATTGAATAAGAATTTGCAGGTAAGGTCGGCTTCCACAGCAAAATTTAGGAGGATTAGGTTTCTTTGGTCTGGCTTTGTCATTTTAGAGATGAGGGTACTGCCTCCAGGAGTCCCAGTGACTTAGACGATGTGGCACAGTTGGGGAGAGCTGCAGAGCAGTTGGGCTAGAATCAGCTGAGGGGTGGTGGAGTGGCGTCGCATTCCTACAGTCCATCCTCACGGAGCTTATCCTCTGCATTCGTGGTGCCCAGCCCTCCTCCCTTTCAGTTTTCTTTAGCAAGAATTTGGAGGAGTCCTGTGTTCTTTTGAGGGAAATTAGGAAAACCTGAGAAAGAGGAAGGAAAGGAAATCTATTAACACCTTAAGATGGTTACTGTTAAAATTGCACCAAACTTAGTGACTCAGATTAGTCATTAACAAGATGGTCCATTTTAGATCACTGGGAGTAACTGAAGTATGTTTGCCTTTTTGCTAAAATTAGCTCGAGGTTGGATTAATCGTAGCCTTAGAAAATCTCTAAACAGTCTTCTGTATCCTCTTACCCTCCAATTTTGTTTTCCTTTTGTGTTAAAAGCTGGAAAAAGAGGTCACTGGGTTTGTTGGTACATGTACAACAAAGGTTAATTGGTCCGAAGTAAAGGATTGGAAGGTCATTCCCATGCGTAAAGCTGGAATGAATCGATTCAATTCAATGACAGCGGTTTTGGTAGTACCAAGACTTTCTCAGCTCCTGTTACTCCATGATTCTCTGTGAATAACTTAGTTGTCTGAGTACATTCAGTGGTTACGAAAAAGGTATACTTACAATGGGAAAGGTTCTGTGATTATATTGGAGAACTATGTGAGGCAATTTATTTGAATTAGGATTTGGTAACGTTCCACGGGCGTCTTTGAGTAGCATGAGCTCATCCTCCACGAGGGTAGACTGGGTCTTCCTTTCCATAGTTCTAGACCTTACCAGATGGTTTGGTTTTTTGTTCATTGGTTTTGTTTTGCTTATACTTTTCTCTTTCCCTCATTATAGGTTTTGCATCACCGAAGGCAGATTCTCTTGCTGCTCAGCCTCCTACCACAAGCCCAGTTGTTTATACAAGACCAGCAATAAGTAGCTTTTCTTCTAGTGGCATCGGGTTTGGGGAAAGTTTAAAAGCTGGACCGTCGTGGCAGTGCGATACTTGTCTACTCCAGAACAAACTTACAGACAGCAAGTGCATAGCCTGTCAGGCGGCAAAGCTGCCGCCCAAAGAGACTGCGAAACAAACTGGAATTGGGACACCGAGTAAAAGTGACAGATCAGCTCTTCCCTCCTCAGGGACGGGGTTCGGAGACAAATTTAAACCGGCAGTAGGCACTTGGGATTGTGATACCTGCTTAGTGCAGAATAAACCTGAGGCGATAAAATGCGTGGCCTGTGAAACCCCGAAGCCCGGGACCGGTGTGAAGCGAGTCCTTACGCTGCCCACAGCTCCGGAGAGCGCGGCGACTGCGACTGCCGCCTCTGCCACATGCACTGTGACCACTGCCGCCTTAGGGTTTGCAGAGCAGTTTAAAAGGCCCGTGGGCTCTTGGGAGTGTCCAGTATGCTGTGTTTTTAATAATGGCGAAGACAGTAAATGTGTGTCCTGTGTGTCTGAGAAACCAGGTACGTGTGTGGCTCTTTGGGAAAATTTTGTTCATTGTTTTAGTAGGACATTTAAATTCATTGTGTGCTAACAACCACCTGCGTGTACGGCGGCAGGGTGAGCCTTTCCCCTCGCACCTTCATTTCTCTGAGCCGTCTTGAGGTACGGTGACTTGCCTGGGGCTGGCTCTGTGTCTTCCCCGGGGCTCCGCGTTAACCAGCCCAGTACGTCCTTGGATGCTTTCTTTGCATCCTTTTGTATCAGAACCTTCCTGCTCGTCCCGGTCATTTTCGAAGTTGACTAGTACAGATGCTGAAAGATCTTAGAAGGGACAGTCTTTCTCAAACTGTTCTCCAGAACGAAATAGCACTTCGTCTCTTTCCCTCTTAGAAGTGCGGATGGCAAATGGTCATTTCCAGAGATTTCACGGAGGGTGGTCAGAATCTCTTCATGAGAGGCTGACTATTAATGGTGATACCTGTGCCTCTCTGTTCTCTGCCAGAGAGACTGCAGTGAGAGCAAATTACTGAATCATGAATGAAAAAAATTCTAACCTGGCAGTGAGAAAAAAGAAGTCAGGTTTGAGTTTTTCCTGTGTCTCTGTTCAAATTTGAAAAAGTTACTGAGATTCACAACTGGAAATGACTCCTTGCTGTTTTTGTAATAATATTATAGAATTGTTTGGTCTAGGTATATGGCAGCCTGGGTACTAAGTACAATCTTTTATGGATGCCCTGGGAATTATGCTTCCCTTTTTATTGCATTATTCATGGATATGTAGTTTTAGGTCTGCAACGGCAAGTTCTTTATTTGTTAGCCTCTACCCTATGTCTGAACATAAGGAGTGAGCCATATTTCTCATTCTTACTGCACATCTCCGCAAGAATAAGATTTCAGAGTCTTCATTCTGAAATAACTTTCCTTTTCCATCTGTCATTCCTCCTCCTCCCCTTAAAAAAAAAAAAAAAGGCAAGTCTTTGATCAAACAAGAAACCAGAATTAATTCTGAGTTGATTAGGAGAATAAAACTGAGTTAGGAAGTAAAAGTAATGTCAGCCATGAATAAAGGAAGCTCGTATATTTATTAAAGAAATCCCAGCTTCATCCTGTAAATGATGAGCCATCATTTTAAGCAGAGGAGTGATACAGTTAAAGGTGTGTATTTGACAGATTGCTTGGTGGCTTTTTGGAGGGTAGATCTGAAGACAACAAAAGTTGGAGGGAGACCGGAGGACAGATGAGGATGTTGTATCAGTAGTACGTGCGGGTAAAGGTAATGGCGACAGATACTAATGGAGTCAAACCAGGATGTCGAATAATGTACAGTTGAAGCCCTGTGGGTTTTGAAGTTGTGAAGTTGAAGCTGTGAAGTTGACAAATAATGTGAGGACTTTGGATATCCTAGAATGGGCGCTCTGGGCTGGAAATACAGATTTGGGAGTCTATTAGGTTATAGTTAGTTTTCCAAATAAGGCATGGGAGTAGAGGCTACATATACTGAGGGGTTGGTGGGAATAGAGAAGATGGCCCCAAACTGAACTCAATTAACTTAAGGGAGTGGCAGGAACGAAATTTTGGAACAGTTAATCTTTATTTATTTATTTATTAAGATTTTATTTATTTGACACAGAGAGCAGAAGGCAAAGAGGCAGGCGGGGCAGGGGGTGGGGGAGCCGGCTCCCTGCCAAGCAGAGAGCCCGATGCGGGGCTCGATCCCAGGACCCTGGGATCATGACCTGAGCCGAAGGCAGAGGCTTAACCCACTGAGCCACCCAGGCAGCCCCTGGAACAGTTAATCTTCTAGAGGAAGAACCAGAGAGGAGGAAATCCGAAAACTACGTGGCACTGGTTGCTTCTTAGAAGAGTGGTCCTTGGTGAACAAGAGCAGAGGTCGCAGTAAGAAGACCGTTACTCAAGCAAGAGCTGAGGGACGCTTGACACGGGGGAGCTGTAGGAGGCTCAGAAAAAGTGAAGGAAACAGGAGAAACAGGAGGGCGCTTCTAGCCGCGCTGCCCAGCTGGCCGGGGGCGCTGCACCCGGGAAGGAGACCACAGAGCTGCGGACTGCAGGTACTGTTTGGTTGCTCATGGGACTTTTGAGGATGGTGGAACGAAGATGCAACCTCGGGGAGCGGTTTTCTTGGCAAGATGGAGGAGAACCTAATGGTAGAAGAGACACCAGGTGCCTGGGAGAGGCGACAGGACAGCAGGTGGAGACGCCAGAGTGAATGAGCCCACTCATCGCACACTTGCTTCATGACGGCTTCGCGGGGCCATCCTTCCCATGCCCCCTCTGCTCCCCACAGACTTGCCAGTTCTGCTGAAGATTTAAATGGCCCCTCTGTGAATCCGTTCTTCCCCTGCTCCTTAGTCCGCTCTTCATTCCTCACTTCCCGTCCTGGCGATGGTGCTACTGCGCCTTATGTTGTACTTTTCCCCTTGTAGACCGTCAGCGCTTTGAGAAGTTAAGCGGTATTTCACTCATCCTCACGCCCTTAGAACTGTGGTATATTTTGGTACTTAATAAGTGTCGTTAAATAGCTAGGTTCTAACCAATGCCATGAAATTCTGTGTAAAAATGGTTGTTTCAAAGGCAGAGCCCTGGGCTTTGAAGTCGTGCAGTTGCTGTGGTCTGTGGCTGTGTATTTTATGTTAGACTACTGCCTATGACTTATATCTTAGATTTCAAAATGCTGTGCTGTTTGAAGAGATTTGACAAAGATTCTTAAGGACATTTTAGTCTCTCAGTCTCTGATTTCTGAGCATGTGTTGTTTTTTTTTTTAAACCATGATTATTCAAAACTCGGGTTAAGAGAGCTCATCACTAGGCAAGGTGAGTGTGAGCTGCTTGTTTGTAAGATTAAAAGAATTCTGATACGTCTATATTGTTTTTAACAGTGTAAAATCTATATTTCTGGCACTTTACACTAATTGAACATTTAGACTTAGTGGTACCTTAAGATATTGACGTAATGTGAATTAGAATTTTTTAAGTTTCCTTACTGTTTTTTAGGAAGTTCGGTACCTGCTTCAAGTAGCAGCACTGTCCCCACCTCTCTGTCTCCTGGAAGCTGCTTGGGATTAGACAAGTTCAAGAAACCCGAGGGCAGCTGGGACTGTGAAGTGTGCCTGGTACAGAATAAAGCAGATGCTACTAAATGTGTGGCGTGCGAAAGTGCAAAGCCGGGCACAAAATCTGAGTTTAAAGGTAAGGCATCGGTGTACCGCCTCCTTGTACTGCCATTTTAAAGTGAAATATATGCAGATCACTTCAGTCTCACATCTGAGTTACTGTAAAGCTGGGTGATTGCCTGGTCAGCAGTGAGGGGTTTTTTTGGTTTGTTTTTTGTTTTGCTTTTTTTTTTCCCTGCAATTGTTAAGGTACTGACTATTCTATCTTGTGTTGAGTCTGAGAATTGCAGATACTTGTTTCTGTTAACAGCCCTTTGGGATTTAGATGAATTTCCTGACTCTGGGGACTGATAATTGATTACTAGACATATTGTAAAACCAGTAGCTCTTGGTTATACAATAAAATGTCCGTTCATTGGTAGTCTGAATCGGTTATTCCAAGTGTACCTTATTAACAGAAATATCAGTGGATTCAGCATAAAATTTTATAGTACTAAATGTCAAGCCTAACTGTGAATTTTGTTCTGTATCTTGAGTAAATTTATGATAATGTTCTCATGAACTATCAACAAAATATATGTACTTTTGTGAACTATGAATTTTCTAGTTAAATTTTACATGAGAAAAAAAAAATCAATTTCCAGACTCTGAGAACCAAGTAATCTGGACTTGGGCTTTGGTTTCCCAGAGAATGTCCCAGAGAAAGGAGTCTCTTAATAATTTTGTTTCGTAAATACAAAGGAAGAACCTCTAAAAACAATTTATGCTGAACTGTTGCCGAAGGCCACATTTTTCAAGTCTTTATTGTCCTTTGTGACTTAATATTTCATATGAGATACATTTCAGTAAAAAGGTTGATAAAGCTGGGAAAGAGCAGAAATTTTAGATCTGAAATAGCAGTCAGGGAGAGGTGAGAAAGATTGTTACCAGTAAGGGAGGAGGTCTCAAAGGCGAGACCGTGAGGGCATTAAAGAATGAATGCCAAGTTTAATCAGCTTGTACCCGTGTCTTGGACTAATGACTTCCAGACTCTCTTGACTGGAAACCAAGCAGGTTTCCACCACATGTATAATGTATTTGTATGATTGATTGAAAAGTGTCACAAACCAATACTTACTCTTTAGTTTGTTTAAGTTACCCTGTTTCTATTCTTTTTCATTTTAGAAGAAAAATGCTGGTTGTAACCCACTAAATTAATTACATGGCTAAAGGGACGCAGCTGGTTTGAAAAACACTGCCTTTGGGGGGCGCCTGGGTGGCTCAGTTGGTCTGACTCTTGGTTTCTCTCAGGGTCGTGAGATCGAGCCCAGTGTTGGGCTCCACAGTCAGCGTGGAGTTTGCTGGAAACTGAGCCTCTCTCCCTCTTTCTCTCTTTCTCTTTGTCTGCCCCACCCCTACTCTCTATCTCTCAAATAGATCAAATAAATAAATAAAATCCCAAACTCTGCATTTGGGTGTTTTAGGTCACTATTTTCCAGTCCACTTGAGGTTGTTGTGTAGCTGTGAACCTCGTGGTCCTCTCTCCGTGCCCTCTCCCTGTTGTGCTATAATCATCATACCTTCAAGTCTGTGCCTTTGAGGCAGAAGTGAGAACGAGTTAATTATTGTCTTTAGCACCTCAAGTTTTAGCTTTCCATCTAATATCACTTGAGGTATTTACAGACCATGTGGAATGCTGCTTGCTTCTCAGGTTTTGATAATTTTTTAAGTTTCTTAGCAAAAGAAAGGGATGGGTCATCATTAAAGGGAGATTTGAAGATAAGAGGGCTTTGTCTCTATACGTGGATAAGCAGGGTTGATGGATAAATATCTTGGCACGTCAGTGATTCCTGTTCATTTCTAGTTTCTAAGCTACAGAAAAGCATTGTGAAACCAAGACTTTGATCTTGTCAACATAGTACTGTTTGTCTTTGTAAGTACTGCTTCTGCTTATGCAGGTCTTCTGGTGTTCTGAGGTTGAACTTCTTTTTAATGTTTGATAACGAATTTATTCACAAGATTTCAGACTCTGGCTATAACAGGATTCCTAGTGAAAAGTCTGTCTTTTGTCCCCATTGGTTCATTTTCCTTCCTTCCTCCCCCACCAGAGGGAATAACTGGTGGTTAGTTTCTCAGAATTCTTCCAGAGTTTCTTCATACACATGATAAGCAAATATACTCTTATTCTGTGTGTTCTTATTTCCCTCTAATTTGTTACAAAATGTTGTGTACCATACTGCCTTTCTGCCCCCTTGAATTTATCCTGGATTAGCTTGGACACATCTTTGCTCTTCGTTCACAGCTGCCTGGGATTGCATATGACATTTTGCATGTCAGTGAGTTTATCTTTAAAAATAAAGACTTAGGGGGAAAAAAAAGAAAGTAAAATAAAGACCTAGGATGTGAAGGTGATCTGGCTGTGCCGTCTGTCACCCCATTGATCACCGGGCTGGATTTCCCTGATCGGGCCGGCTGGCCTTCCCTTCCTCCCTATGGCTCCACATACATCCGTCCCAAAGCTGCGTGCTCTGTTCAAAGAGGACAACCTTCCCGGATAGAGGAGGGCCCTTCTCAGCTCAAGCGTGTATAGAGAGCAGCTGCGCTCCCCTGCTAGAACCTCCAGGCAAGCTCTCAAGGTCCATTCGTAGGAGCGTGTAGGGTGGTGAAGCTTCCAAGACTCCAGATGCATCCAAATGACGTGCTGCGTGCGGCAGTCTGCCTTTCTTTACAGAATAAATAAATAAATACTTAGCTGTAGAATTGTTGGGTCAAAGGATACATGCGTTGTAATTTTTAGTAAATACTGACAGTTGCCTTCCATGGATTGTGTGCTAATTACCCATCCACCTGTCCTGTAGAAAGTGTCTGTTCCTGCTCGACTCCTCACCAACTCTGCCTTATCGGGTTTGTTGGATCTCTGCCGGTGTCATGGATGAAAGGCGGCGTGTTGGTGTAGTTGGGAGGAGCGAGATGGAGTTCTCATGCCGAACATTGGGCTGCTGCTTCGTGTTCACTGCCCTTCACTCTTCAAAGGAGGCCTTTGCAGAATTAGTCCTTTTTTTTTTTTTTTTTAAGATTTTATTTGTGTATTAGAGGGCACGCACGAGCAGAGGGAGAAGGAGAAACAAACCCCCCTCTGAGCAGGGAGCCCAATGCAGGGCTCAATCCCAGGACCCCGGGATCATGACCTGAGCTGAAGGCAGACGCTTAACCAACTGAAGCCACCCAGGTGCCCCTCCAGAGTTACTCATTTGTTTTTCAGGGGGACATTTTGTTTGCGAGGATAGCGTTAACTCAGTGACTTGTGTTTTATATTTTGAAGGCTTTGGCACATCTTCCTCTTCTTCGAACCCAGCAGCCTCATCCTTCAAATTTGGTATCCCATCATCCTCTTCTGGACCTTCTCAGACCTTAACAAGCACTGGAAATTTTAAGTTTGGAGATCAGGGAGGCTTCAAAATCGGAGTGTCCTCAGATTCTGAGTCTCCAAACTCCGTGAGTGAAGGCTTTAAATTTCCTAAACCATTAGGAGATTTTAAATTTGGAGTTTCGTCTGAGACTAAACCTGAGGAAGCTAAAAAGGACAGTAAGAGTGAGAACGATTTTAAGTTTGGACTTCCTTCGGGCCTAAGTAACACAGCTTCGTTAGCTCCGTTTCAGTTTGGCGTGTCTAATCTCGGGCAGCAGGAGAAGAAAGAGGAACTACCGAAGTCTTCGTCTGCGGGCTTCAGCTTTGGTCCCGGTGTTATTAACCCCACACCTGCTGCTACCAACACCGCGGTGACCTCTGAGAGCAAGAGCAGCTTCAGCTTTGGAACCCTAGAAACCAAGAGTGTTTCAGTGGCTCCTTTCACGTGTAAGACGTCAGAAGCCAAAAAAGAAGAAATGCCTGCCGCCAAAGGAGGGTTCACGTTTGGCAGCATAGAACCCGCCCCTCCGCCAGCTGCCTCGTTGTTCGCGCTGGGAAGGACAGAAGAGAAGCAGCAGGAGCAGGTCACTTCCACTTCTCTGGTGTTTGGGAAGAAAGCTGACAGCGAAGAGCCAAAGTGTCCATCAGTGTTTTCCTTTGGAAATTCAGAGCAGACCAAAGAGGAGAGTTCTTCAAAGTCCACCTTTAGTTTCAGCGTGGCAAAACCAGCCGAGAAGGAAGCGGAACAGCCAACAAAGGCTGCTTTCACATTTGGAACGCCAACCAATACTGCGGCTGGTAAGTATTAAACTTTTTTTTTCTTTTTTTTTTTTTTAATAACGAGGCATCTCTGATCTCTGGACAAATGCAGCAGGTCAGGGAATGGTTTACACTGAACAGAGCTGAGTGAGACCAGGAACAGCTCTCTGGAAAGGAGCATAGGATTTTCCGTTTTCACTGCTCCATACCCCAAGAGGTGAAGAGGTTATCTACAGCTCTGATGGCAAGCCTGCAGGGTTGCACGTCTGTCCATGCTCCTCCCTTCTGTTTGAGCTCTGACAGTTGGGATTGGCCTACTGTTCAGGAGCGTAGGCCTGCCTTCGTAAGCTCATGAAATATTTTCTAACTCACTCTTTATGTACAGGCCTTCCTTCACAAATACAGTTAATCAGTCGTCATCAGGCATTTAAGGAATATAGACAACAAATATAATTTGTCTCTAAGCAGGGGATTATGAAAACTAGTATCCTGAAGCAAAAATGAAAGAGCATTTTAAAAACGTTCAAAAAACGTGCTTGGTGAAATGAAATCCTTCTGTGGGCTGAGCAGCAGAAAAACCTTAGATGATAGATTAGTGAACTAGGATTTGACAGAGCTCAGTTTCACGGACGTGCAGAGAGACTGGGTCCAGCCAGCCCACAAGTGCCGTTGCAGGAGGGGTGCTTAGCAGATGAGAACAGGACGGAAGTATGAAAGAAGTGACAGAAGAACATTTCCTTTGTGCAGAGAAAACATCTCCTTAAAAATGAAAACGGCCCACTCATTAGCAAGGACCAGTGAGGTTGTAGGACACTAAAGCCAAAATCCTGAATGCTTTCAGAGAGAGGAAAGCTCTTTGCCCTCAAACTTTGAATTTGTAAGACCACATGCTTGAAACAGTAGAGCAGTATCCTAAAAGTGAAAATGGTCTTGATCTTAAAATTTTATATCCAGCTGAAGGGCAAAATAGAGATGTTTTCAGACAATTTTATATCCAGCTGAAGCAAAATAGAGATGTTTTCAGACAGGCCAAAAAATAGAATGCCTGTGAACACTTCTGAAAATACACTGGAAACACGAAATGAAAAATTTACCTTGGGGAAAAAAAAATGGAAATCAGTGGATTTTTTTTTTTTTTTTTTGGGTCCATTGTCTGGACATTCAAAACACCCTCCAAAAAAGAAAGTAAATACTCCGTTATGTACAATTTGGAAAGGAATAAAAACACGATTAGGTCTAATTAGATGTAATCATGGTATCACTGTACTTTTTCCACTGAAACAGACCCTCTTAACCTCCCATTAATGAACTTGAAAGTGAGCCAGCGTGCTCCACTTTCTGTAAATCACACTAACACCCATACCATATCGCGGCCGGCCTGTACAGAGACAGCATTGGAACTGAGACCTCATTGGGAGAGTTAAAAAAAAAAAAAAATATCTTCAGGAAGGTGGGTGATTTCAGGCTCATATAAAACCAGTAGCTTTCTTCTAAATCAGCAAGAAATAGCTGCGCAAATGACCTGTTTCAGACCTGTTCCTGAGTGAGAGCATTGTCCCTCCCGGTGTCCTCGGTGTCCTCTCGCTCTGTGTGTAGTTGACTGTGGTTGACACACCTGTCACATGAGTTTCAGGTGTGCAGCATAGCTATCGGGCTGGGCCGCTGCCTGTGGTAGTCCGTGCCCGGCGCCGCACCATCTGTCCCCACACGGTTTTGGGACAGCACCATAGACTGTCTCCCGGTGCTGGGCCTTGTCACCTGTGATGGACTCCTTCCAGAGCTGGAAGCCTTCGTTTCAGTTCTGAGAGGAATTTCGGTGGATGTGACAAGCTAAGCTCATTTTAAAATTCACCTGGAAGGGAGAATGCACGAGAGATTTTGGAGAAAAGGGCAGGCACGCAGACAGGTTTGCTCCACTCGTATCAGACCATACCGCAAAGCCGCAGGAATTAAAACAGTCTAGGAGCTTAGGTAACTGCAGAGGGAACAAATGGACACGTACTTGGAAATTTAGTGTGTCCTAAGGGGGGAGTTATAAACGAGTGAGTGAGGACGGCCTGGACAGTAAGTGATGCTGTTGGACAGATGAGGGTCTTGCTAATAGCTCTGCAAGTCTCCCGCCATCTGAACAGGCGTCCAGACGTAGCCTCCATTTCGGGGGGTGGGATTGAAGGGATATTTTTTATTCTTACTAATCTGAATGCTGAAAGTTATCTGGTCTGAGATGCAGTCCAAAAGCCATCAAAGAAAAGATGGACATATTTGCTTACATCAAAATTCAATATAGCACGTCCATTTGATGAATTTATATAAAAAAACCTTAGTGGTTCTGTGTTCCAATGACTGGCTGGACTTGCACGGTAGGAAGAAGTGCCTTTCTGTAGTTCCGTGTCCTCAGAGTTTTGTGTGTCCCGTCACCTGTGTCTGCAGATCCGGGGGCCACGAAGCCGGCGTTCACCTTCTTGAACAGCAGCGCCCCCACGTCCAGCGCGCCGGCCCCGGCTGCCGCGGGGGGCATGTTCGGGAGCTCCGCCGCCGCCTCCAGCGCGCCCGGGACTGCCTTTGTGTTTGGACAGGCCGGCAACCCTGGGAGCGGCCCTGCCTTCGGGAGCGCGGCCGAGTCGGGCGCGTCTCAGTCGTTGCTCTTTTCTCAAGAGAGCAAACCAGCAACCACGTCGAGCGCGGCGGCGGCCGTAACCCCGTTCGTCTTTGGGCCGGGAGCCAGCAGCCACAGCACCGCCACCTCCGGCTTCAGTTTCGGAGCCACGACCACATCCAGCTCTGCAGGTACGGTGACGCGAGGAAAGCGTATGTGTTGCAGCCGGACGGGCTGGAACTGTCCTCTCCCGGCAGGTTAACTAGCGGGGACCTGAGAAGCGCCGGGCACCGCTAGGCCGGCTGCCCCCGGCGTGTTGTCACCTTTCGCTGCCTGGAATCTTGTCCATTTTGTGGTTCGGTTTAATATCATGAACTCGTTGGGGGGAGCTTTCTAGGTTCAGTGTCCTCTTTAGTTTTTCCAGGTGTTCTTTTTGAAACGTTGGGTGGTTGAGTAACCAGAAACCGGGGACTGTTTCATTCGGCGTGAGCCCGCAGTTGGTAGCACGTACGTGGGACCGCGCTAGTGGCCTCTGCCGCGGGTTAGGTAGTCGGGCAAGAGATCGCTTGTCTTCGATCGCTCTCTCTACCTGACAAAAAATGTGGCTGCGAAGGTGGGGACTCTGGCTCGTCAGCGACTTTGCTGATGCGCATTCTGTATGGTCTCACTGAACAATGGGCGAGGATTGTGCCCTTCGTGATCATCAAAACTGGCCTTGCTGGGGTTTGCTCAGCTCTAAGACAAGTGTCTGAAAAGAAGCTTCAGGTTTGCTGCTGACTTGATAGCAGTTTCTTGAGGATTATCTCGTGGTGGCTCTCAGGTGACATCAGTGTTTCTCTGGGCTTCTAGGATCCTCCTTTGTATTTGGCACGGGGCCTTCGGCGCCATCTGCCAGTCCAGCATTTGGTGTTAACCAAACCCCGACATTTGGACAGAGTCAAGGTGCCAGCCAGCCCACTCCCCCAGGCTTTGGAGCTCTGTCCTCGTCAGCGGCGTTGTTTTCTGCTGCCCCTCAGCCCACACCGCCTACCTTCGGGAGCGTGTCAAGCAGCAGCCAGCCTCCTGTGTTTGGACAGCAGCCGAGTCAGTCTGCCTTTGGGTCCGCAGCAGCTCCGAGTTCCGGTGAGTGCGCCCTGCCCACGGGGCTTGTGTCTGCTCTGCCCCTGGGGTCTGCATGTCTTCAGACAGAATGGTTTCTGAATTCTGAAACCATGCCTGTGTCTTCTTTCTTTTTTGTATTTTTATGTCTTTTTCTTTTTTAAGGATTTTATTTGAGAGAGAGAGAATGTGCATAAGCGGGGGGAGGGGCAGGGAGAGGGGTGAGCAGAGGGAGCCCAGCACGGGGCTCGATCTCAGGACCCGGATGGTGGCCCGAGCTGAGGGCGGACAGTTCACCGACTGAGCCACCAGGCGCCCCTGTCTTATTTCTTTAAATGTCTCTTGTACTTGGCAGAATAGAAAAGTATGTGTTGGGACTTCCCCTAGAAGCGACATTCCCAACTTTCATACAGTGAAGCACTTTAAGGCATTAGCCATGCAATTAAAATGTAGTTATTTCTTATTCTTAGACGTGCAGTATCGGTTCTGTCCCATTTCTCCCATCTAAACTTTGGGGCACTCCAGCCTAGATTTCAGCCGCATTTTCTAGTCCTCATTGTGATCGGATTTCCTTCGGGATGTCCTCCCCCCCGCTGCAGCTCTCTCCTGGAACAGAACCCTCCCCCCCCCCAGGCACCCAGGACACTGCTTTATGATCCTTGACTTGAATATTTAAACAGACATTCCCGTGTGTGGGGGGGGGGTTTGCATGCGCACGCATGCACACACCTGCTTAATATGGCTAATCACATTGTACTCTGAGGATATATTTCCTCAAAACTGTAGGATGTGTAGTTTTCTAACCACGAAATACGACTTCATACAGAAAAGCCTGAGACAGAAGTGAGCAGTGTGGTGTCGGAGCAGGCGCGTGGCTCGCCCTGCGCCAGCAGCCACCGGCCCCCGCCCCTGGCTCCCTGCTTGTTCACGGGCCTCTTTCCTTGCCCTGACGTGTCTGGGCTTTCGTGGCGATCTCTTTCCTGGGGTTTTATTTAAAGCTAACTGCTGACCTGTGAAGCTCTACAGAATATCATTTTGCCTTATTTTTAACTCTGTGTAAATGGAATCCACACTGTTGAGTCTCCGGATTCGCGCGGCTTTCGCTCTGGCAGAGCTCACCCGTGCCAGCGCGTGTGGTGTGCTCAGTGTCCCTGCCGCACAGTCAGTCAGGTTATGAACGTAGCACAGTTTATCCATACGCTGCTGCTGAGTCTGTCAGAGTTGTTTTTATTACCAGTTAGGAAATGCACCTCTGCTCATTCTTGTGTATGTGCCTGGAGGCACACATGCATGTTTTTCGAGGGTATATACCAAGGGATTGCCAAACTAAAAGGTATGCGTGCATATCTTAGACTTCAGAAAGTAATGCAAGCATATCCTGACGGATTGTGCCCGTTCGCATCCTACTACATTGTATGAAGATTCTCATATTTTGGGTCTACTGGATTTCGTTTTCTGTGAATTTTTTTTTAAAGATTTTATTTATTTGACAGAAAAATCGCAAGTAGGCAGAGAGGCAGGCAGAGAGAGTGGGGCAAGCAGGCTCCCTGCTGAGCAGAGAGCTGGATGTGGGGCTCGATCCCAGGACCCTGAGACTGTGACCTGAGGCTTAACCCACTGAGCCACCCAGGCACCCCTGTGAATTGTTTTTTAAGGACTTTTTTGGCCTTTTTTTGGGGGGGGCAGTTTCACTTTTGCTCAGTGATTTGCAGGAATTTTTTATGTATCCTGGATATTAGTACTTTGCCAGTTAGTACAGGTAGCAGAATTTCTGCTGGGACCTGTGTTAGCCATTTTAATCAGGACGTATGGATTCTTCTCAGCACGTGGAGTGGCACAGTGCAGCCTCCCTCCACACGGGCGCCCTTCCCCGCAGTCCTCCGCCAGTGACCGCTGTGTGCTTAGATCGGTTCTGAGTATGCAGGTGCCATATGGTACAGTGCACTTTGCTTTTCTATACAAAAATTTTTTTTTTTTTAATTTGACAGAGATCACAAGCAGACAGAGAGGTAGGCAGAGAGAGAGAGAGAGAGAGAGAGAGAGAGAGGAAGCAAAGCAGGCTCCCTGCTGAGCAGAGAGCCCGATGGGCGGCTCGATCCCAGGACCCTGGGATCATGACCCGAGCCGAAGGCAGAGGCTTAACCCACTGAGCCACCCAGGCGCCCCTTCTATACAAAATTTTGTTTTGTCCAGCATCAGTGATCCCGGTCTGTGTTAGTAATTTCTTTGTACCTGTCATTAGTTACAACTTTAGCTCTTCTCCCAGTCATACAGATTGCTTCTCAATCTTTTCATATACGTTGGCTGCTTGTTATTTAGTGTTGGAAGGAAATTTTTCACAGAATCTTCTCACCCGTTCCTTCTACCAGGCTTTCTAGGCTTGCTGTTGAACTGTGGTCTTGGTATCTCTCTTCACTGTTCTGGAGATTGCCCTTTGCCTCCTCTCTTTGCTGGAGGATGTCAGTGTCTTGTTCTTTCTTATTCCTTTGTTTTGAGAGAGCAGATCTTCCAGTGATTTCTTAAGTCCTCAGGGAAGAGAATTTTGAGACCTTACATTTCTGGAAGTATCTTTATTCTGCGCCTGTGTTTGGTAAGATTTTGGTTGAATGCAGGTTTCATTTGGAAATAATTTTCATAGTTGTGAAAGGATTTCTCCATGTTGGACTTTCTGGTTCTCTCAGAGTTGCTCTGGAAGTCTTTCTTGATGTTTGCTTTTGTATGTGTGCTGCTGAAGTAAGCACTTGATCTTTGCTTTTGGACCCATTTCTTCTTTCTGAATCTCACTGGATCTTTTCATTGGCTCCAGTGTTCTGACTTACCAGGAGGATGTTCCTTAATCTGGATCCATTTTTACCCATTGACTATGAAGAATTTAGTTTTGTCTTTTTGTCAATATCCATTCTTGGGAACTTTCTGGAGTTACTTCTTTGAAGATTTTTGTGCCTCATTCTTTAACTTCTGTTCTTTTTCCCTTTTTGTCCCTTCTGTCCTTTCTGGAAAGATTTCTTCCATTTATCTTTTACTTCCCCTTTGATCAGGATTTTATTTTTGCTAATTTGAGACATTCTTTTTTTTTGTTCTGTAGGTGTGCCCTTTTTATATTCTTAATGTTCTTGTTTCAGAATTGTTACCTGTTATTTCTTGATATTAATGATGAGGTGTGGGGTTTTCTTTTCTCCCCTTTACCCTGTAGTTCAATCCATTTTCTACAAATTGCTTTTCTCATTTGGCTCTTGGTGTTTCTTATGAAATACTTTCCTCAACTTTCTGGGGCTTCTAGGCTATCCACTCAACAGTTGTTTTTTTAAATGGTAGTAAGAATAATTAACACGAGATCCATCGTTTCAGCAAATTAAGGGCACGGTGCAGTGTTGTTAACTACAGGCCCCCCGTCGTACTGATAACGGCTGCACCCCCGCCTCTGGTGTAACTGCGCTCCGCACCCGTTGGCGAGCCCCTCTCCATTCCTTTAGTTCCTCTCTCTCTCTCTCTCTCTCTCTCTCACACACACACACACACACACACCCCAAACCCACCCCCCACCCCACAGCCACCCTTTTTCTCTCTGCTTCTGTGGTTTGGCAGTTTAGATTCCTCATGTAAGAGAAGTCATGCGGTACCTGTCGTGGGTCCGGCTTATTCCACTTAGCATGACGTCCTCCCGCTTCAGCCAGGCGCTTGCGTGTTGTTTCAAGGCTGAACAGTGTTCCTGTGTACGAACCGCCCGTTGTTTCATCTCCTCGGTCGGCGGACATTTAGGTTGTGTCCACATCTTGGCTCTTGTAAATAATGGTGCGGTGACCTCGGGAGTCTGGATGTCTCCTCGAGGCCCTGATTTTAAATGTTTTGGAGAAATACCCAGAACGGGGTTGCTGGATCATAGGGTGATTTCTATTTTTAGTTATTTTCTGAGGCGCCTCCGTACTGTTCTCCACAGTGGCTGCCCCAGTTTGCATCCCCACCCGCAGAGCACGGGGTTGCTCTCCTTCACGCGCTCGCCAGCACCTGTTGTTTCTTGTGTTGCTGATTTTAGCCCTTCCGACAGGTGTGAGGCGGCACCTCACTGTGGTTCTGATGCGCACGTCCCTGACGATGCGTGGTGTTGAGCATCTTTGCACATGTCTCTTGGCTGTTTGTGTCCTCTTTGGAGAAATGTCTGTTCACGTCCTTTGTCCATTTTTTAAATCAGGTTATTCGGGCTTTTTGGCTGCCAATTGTAGAAGTTATAGATTTTGGATATCAGGTCTTCATCAGATACATGGTTTGCAGACATCTTTTCCTGTCCAACTCATAATTTTACAAGTGTGGGATACCTCAGTACCACTTGATAATTCTTCGTGCATCGAGAAGCTCATGATCTTGAATCTCACTGTAGGTTCATCTCATGGGCCTGCTTCCTTAGGAAGACCTGGATCTTGGTATCAGTGGGTCTTTCCTTAAGAAGGTCAGACTCGGGGCGCCTGGGTGGCTCAGTGGGTTAAAGCCTCTGCCTTCTGCTCAGATTGTGATCTCAGGGTCCTGGGATCGAGCCCCGCATCGGGCTCTCTGCTCAGCAGGGAGCCTGCTTCCCCCTCTCTCTCTCTGCTTCTCTGCCTACTTGTGATCTCTGTCAAATAAATAAATAAACTCTTAAAAAAAATAAAAAAGGTCAGACTCCCCAGAGGTTACTCCCAGTCTCCTGCCTAGAGGGTGTGCAAACTCCCGATGGCCTGTGCTCTGGGAGCCGAGTCAGGGAGGGAGGCTGCGGCTCTCCTACTTGTAACGTCAGCTGACTTTTAATCCTTCTGTGCCATAGGATGTCCGTGCCTTTGTGTGCGGTCGCCTAGTCCAGAGCCTGAAGTTCTCTTCCGTTGGGGTAGAGGAGAAAAGTGTCTTGTGGTACGGGGAGGAGCGACTTGGGTACCTGCTTCTCACACAGATATTCTCCCATCCTCTTCCTCCTCCTTCTTCTTTTCTTCTTCTTCTTCTTTTTTTTTTTTTTAAAGATTTTATTTATTTATTAGACACACAGAGAGAGAAATCACAAGTAGGCAGAGAGGCAGGCAGAGAGAGAGGAAGGGAAGCAGGTCCCCGCTGAGCAGAGAGCCGGATGTGGGGCTCGATCCCAGGACCCTGAGATCATGACCCGAGCCGAAGGCAGAGGCTTTAACCCACTGAGCCACCCAGGCGCCCTCCTTTTCTTTTTTTATAGTCACACCTTCATTCTCCCTTCCAGAGGCCCCTGGCTCCCAAGCCTTCGGGTATGTTTAGTGTAAATGAACTGCGCCTGTGCTTTCCCGGCTGCCAGCTTGGTACTTGGCTCCCGTCAGCCTTCCGGCGTCTCCATTTGGTCGCTGTTGTCTCCTCTCTGTCCCCCATCTTCGTAAAACTCCCTTTACTCTTATTTTAACATAATTTTTGAAGAAGTTAGCGCAAATGTTGTGTTGCTTCGGCTATCTTTAAGCGGAAGTCCCTTCTACCCAGTTCTCCTTGGTCACGGGTAAGTTGGGTCACTCGTCCGAGGGTGTCCTATGTTCCGTGAGCCGGCGGAGCAGACGGCTCATTTTCACTTTCTGTGAGTGACGGTAAGACCGCTTAGCCCTTCCCGCGTGTTTGTATGTGAAGGTCCGAGTCTTTACCAGAAAACTAGCATTTTGACCTTGGTGAAGTGTTTCTGCTTTAACCGCCGCAGGTTCTTCAGTTTTCCAGTTCGGCAGCAGCAGCACCACCAATTTCAACTTCGCGAACAACAACCCGTCGGGAGTGTTCACGTTCGGGGCGAATCCCGGCACCCCCGCCGCCTCGGGCCAGCCCTCCGGCTCCGCGGCCTTCGCGTTCAGCCAGTCTTCGGCCGCGTTCACAGTGGGGTAAGGCCGCGCGGCGGGAGGGGCTGCGGCGGGGCGGGCGCGCGCCTGCGCGGAGCGGGGCTGGGGGGCTCGTCGCGGCCCCGGGGCGGGCGCTGCGGTCAGGCCAGACGCGGGTGTTGGCCGCCGTGCCATGCGCGGGGACAGACGGGGACAGAGAGCGCGTTTCCTTCAACCCCCCCCCCCCCCCCCCCCCCCCGCCCCCGGTCGCAGGTCGCCTTGTGCGGATGCTGAAATGTCCCCGAGCACCGGGTGACATAACGCAGTTCTCGCTTTTTCACAGGTCAAACGGGAAAAATATGTTCTCTTCTTCCGGAGCTTCGGTTCCTGGCCGCAAGATAAAGACTGCTGTCAGGCGCAGGAAATAAAGGTCGCGGTGTGTCCCACACCACGTTGGCAACTGCTGGTGCCCTGCTTCTCAGATCCCGGCCGTACTGTGCGTGGTGGGGCTGGCTGTGGTCAGACCTGCCCGACGACTTCCTGAGTTCGCGCCCCCCCCCCCCCCCCCCCGTTCCAGAAACAATAATCGCTAGATCGGCGGCTGATTCTGCAGCAGAAATAGGATCCCGCACATGACCCCCGATTGGGCGCAGGCCGCCGCGCCCCGGACGGAGCCCGCTCAGCGGGTGCTTTGTAGGGAGCCTCCGTGCGCGCCGCGCTGCGTGCCCGGGTGCGCGCGGGGGGACGCGTCGACGTTGTAATTATATGGGAGGAATTCTGTATAGATTAGAGAATGTGGAAGTGAATGATTTCTCTGCTGAGTTTGTGCTGGTGTATGTGTGGAGTGAGTGAGTCGGGTGTTTTGTGCACTAAAATTTTCTGATAGAGGAAGCCTGATTAAAGAATGGTCCATGCTAAGGACTTATTAGATCTAGTGCGTTCTCCATTTAATAATTATATGCTATTTCTATATTTTCATTCTCCTATCACCTGTCTTGCCTTTTTCATTATTTTATTATGAAACTGGTGTAAATACAATTTTGTTTCTGTACTTTTTTGGCATAACATAAATCTGTGAACTTGAAATTTTAATTTTGTGTTAGAGAATTTGTTTGTTCTTTGTTTAGTCTCGTCTCAGATTTTATTATGTAAATCCCATTATTCAAAGTTGCCTAAATCCATTTAGAAATCTTTAAAAAAAAAATTGGGGATTCTTAAAGTGAATTTATTGGCTTTTCTGATCCAGTTTTGTTTGGACCAAAAACCAGTATTGTACAAAGTATTAAGCATATATTTTTATATTTACTGAAATGGACTGTGGTGACTTTGGATAATAAGGAAAAGTTTAATATTAAAGCCATGTTTATTACAGTATAATTAACATGTTAAACCATGGGATAAATGCCATCAATAAAAAATTATGAAATATTTTTTGTTCTAGTGTTAACTTATAATGAAGGTACCAGTGTTAATGGAAGGGAACCTTTTTTTGTAAAGGTTCGCCATGTTTCAGAGAAATTCCAAAGAATACATTTAAGTGATTTGGACAACTCCTACGTGAAGGGGAAGTGTCTAGCGGTAAAACATAGAGAAGGTACCCTGCTTTTTGTCTGGTGCTAGGAATCACGCCTACTTTGCATATAAAATGACCTGCCTTTTTAAAAAGTTGAAAATAAACACACGTAACCATTTGTTCGTATCTGTATCTTCCTTGAGAGGCGACTAGATAGTGTTTACTGATCAGGTCTTGGAGACACATGCCGAAAGCAGCCCATAGAAATTGCATGGTCCTTTTGTATGGAATTCTTACGGATTCTTTTACTAATATCCCCTCCCCCCCCAACTGGATCTCGTCTGTGGTTCATAAAAGACCTGTTGGGACAGCATTTGCTTGATTTTAGACTTAATTTGAGCACACGGTGATTTTGTGCGGACTTTCGTTTTGCTTAACTTCTGTTGAAATCCAAATTCAGAACTTTAAAATGTTTACGAGCTATTTTGTGTTTCTAATTTTGCAAAGATATTTTTTGTTTTGAAAACATCTTGGGCCATTATCTGGTGCTGGTTTGGGGAGAGACATTTTATAATTCTCACTTTATTAATAATACACATTTGACGCAGGCCTGTTTGGGGGCAAATGATGGTGAATACCGGAAACCTGGTTTTAATGCGGAGATGTTAATGCCTAACTAAGTGGCAGGTTTGTTCATTATCTGCCATCCTCTGGGCCCATATGAATGGGAGTATTAGGCTTTCTGCTCTGGGAAAAATTTTCATAAGAAATGTGCTAGAAATAGTTATTTAGTATTCTTTAAAACAAGTTGACTGAAAATAAAGGTGGCTTAAAAATGAAATCTTCTGGCACCAAAGCTGTTGTCTACAGAGCTGTAATCAGGGCTCGGGACTTGGATTTTCTGTCTCCGTTGTCGTTATTCCCAGGCTGCGCATGTGGCTCCAGACGACATGCACGAACGCGGCTCCAGCGGCAACCCTGCCCCTCCCGACTCGGTCCAGCAGAGGCCTCTCCTTCCTGGACTGGCTCCGGCGGCAGACGTACTTCGCAGCCACTCTCTGTGACTCTGACGGCGGTCTCGGACAGGCCTCGGTCCTACGTTGCCTACACAAGTGAAAATTGAGGGCAGTTTGTAGAAGAAGGGGAAGTACCCCGGAAAGAAGCCACTTCTCATGCTGGAAGACTTCGAATGCCTGAGGTCCAGGCCTGAGGATGGCACTTCAGGTACCAGGTTGTTTCGAATAATTTATGATTTGGGGCGTTAAGAAAAAGTGTAATTTAGACCACTGAAAAATGTCTTCAAGCTAGCTGCTTATTAATGGTTGTTAACAAATCCTCTCCCGAAATTGTTCGTGTATTTGGGATTTTATTTGAAATTAAAGTGGTAGACTAATTTTAAGTTTGTAACCAGGCTATAAATTAGTCCATTACTTTAATTTCAAATAATAAAATCCCAATTTTAAAATTTTCATTATTCAAGTACTGAGGACATACCATGTTACAATAGTTTCAGGCGTACAGTGGGATTTGATAGTTCTGTACGTTACTTAGTGCTCACCACCGTAAGTGTGGTCACCATACGTGATTATAGAATTATTGACTCCTTCCTGTGCTGTCCTTTTCATCTCCATGACTTCATTTGTTTCCTGGGTCTATTTAAAGTTTGAAACTCAATGAAAATGTTACAAAGGTTAGCCTGTGTGTTGAATGGAAACTGACATTTGGTGTAGTAAAACTGGGGAAATGTGTGTATTGGGTCTAGCGACACGTGCCAACTGAATTGACTAGTGCTGTGGGGCAACTCTTAACAAGCTTACCTCGAGGTCCGCTGTAGTTCGTAGTTCCAGAAATGTAGGTTGTGCCTCAGCTCCGAACAGCACATTGTCTGTAGAACTCAGACCCGGCCATTGTTTAGCTACATTGAGTTTATCTGTGTTCTTCTTCTTTTTTTTTAAAGATTTTATTTATTTATTTGACAGGCAGAGATCACAAGTAGGCAGAGGCAGAGAGAGAGAAGCAGGCTCCCCCGAGAAAGGAGCCCGATGCGGGACTCGATCCCAGGGCCCCCGGGATCATGACCTGAGCTGAAGGCAGCCGCTTAATGGACTGAGCCACCCAGGCGTCCCTTATCTGTGTTCTTCTTGAGGAACCTGTTTTGTATCCTGTCCTCCTCCTCTAGATGTGTTAGAACAGGAAATGCTTGTAAGATCAGAATGAGGTTTAAACTGCCCAGCTCAGTCATTTACCAGCTATGAGACTTTGAACTTCCGGTTCCCTACGTGTAACATGGTTCCTTAGTATCTTGCATAGTAGTTGGGAGGGTTAACCATTTTAAGGACAGAATTAGTTGAACATCAAGCATAGTCATCTGTGGGTAACTTCTGAGTGACTTCCCTAAAGAATATACCCCAAAAGGTAGACTTTGGCGGGGGGTAGACCTCTTTTTTCTGAAAGCACTCTAGCTGACTGCCATTCTCCTAAAGGCCGGGAATGCGAGAAATTTGTATTTGGAAGCAAGGGTTCCCTTAAGCAGGAGATTCTAGAGCAAACTTCAAGTAACAGTCAAAAAACAAAAGCATTGGTGATCAAGTATTTATTGAGATAAAGAATACAAAGGTGGCATACAAATTATTAAAAATAGAATGCTGAATTTTATTTATAGGCAGGCCATCAGATACTGTTCGTGGGTCAAGCCCTACTCTAATGACCTGCGAGGATATACACATAATAATAGTTTGGAACGAGGAACTTCACCCAGGCAAGCACATAGTGTAAAGATTTTGGCCTTTGGTACAAGGGACGGGGAATGGCAAGTACCCGAGATGGTACCTGTCAGATTTTAGGAATACTGGTCTGATTTGGGCATAGTCTTCAAAAGAAACAGCCTGTTTTAATAGGGCTAAGTGTGGACTGCAAATATTTAACATCCCTGTCTCTCTCACAAAGCGCAAGACTTGCCAGTAGTTTCAACTCCTTTCTCCTTTCCTCTTGCTGGAAATACTGATGCATGAGTAAAACCCCCACACAAGTCACTTAAGGGAACAAGTCCTTTTAAAGCAGAGTTAAAACAACTTTTACTTGTCATTTAAAGCAATAATCACTAAAGACTTAGTGTTATTTAAATAAAAGGGCCCTCAAATATAATGTATTTTTTCCCCAATCCTAAATAGCGGGGGAAACTGGAAAGTAAGTGTTTAAGTGGAAACAAGTGACTTCTGCACCAGTGCCACACAAGCAGCAGCTGGAAATACTTTATAACGCGTTACTGTCCAAAAAGTTGTCGGCTTTATTTTTATGGTCGTAGCTTGGTCTAAAAATCAAGGCTTACATCCTCCCGTTTACTTCCCTAAACCCAGCATGGACTTCAGTGCGTCAGGCTCTTCTCAAGGTGCGCCAGCCGCCTGTAGTCCTGGGTACGGAGACTTTTCTAGATGCCCACGCTACCTGCCTGTTCTGCGCTTTTATTCAAGCCATAGTCACTGCAAGTGGTCTTAACTTGGCTTGACTTCTAATTTTGTTCCCTTAGGACTTATCTTGTAAAAGTGATGAATAATGTTTGTACTATGAAAACAACTTTCTTTTTGCCTTTTTAGGCCAGAGTTAAAGCATGAGAATTATACTTGGATACAGAAAATCAGCATTTCTAGAAATGAAAAAAATAGAAACGTGTTTTTGAAAAGACGGAGGCTCAACCCCTCACAACCCTAAGAGAAAAAAGTGACTCTCCCTTCTTCCCCACTGTTTTGTCATCCCCCCCGCCAATGATTTGGAAATCAAAATCTTTTCCTGTGTGCTGAATTCAAAATACAAACACACTTGCATTTTGTTAGAAAGGCAGAGTAGCAACAGAACTTGTATTTATTTTATCAGGCTATATAACTTGGATCCCAAGATGGATCTAAACGAACCTGCATCCAGCTAGGATTCCCAATAACTCATATATAGCAAATGTGCAATATTGTAAGAATTAAACTGGGCTACTTGCTTTTGTTTGGCAATAGAAATAAAAGCCTAGATGGTGAACCTTCTAATTATCTGAGAGGAAATTCTACATTAAAGATCTATTCCAGAGCTACATGGCTGATGGACACTTCAAGTTGAATTCTCCATCAGTGGCCAAGAGAGCGGTATCCACTGATGCTAACGTATACACTACTGAGTGGTAAGTTTACGTAACATTTCCTACTGTGTCTTTCTACTGTGAAGGGCCAAACACTTTAAACATCTTCCCAGGGGCTACAAGTGAGTGATCTGTTGAGTACTTTGGCACACTTAATAGGCTTTCTGTGATGTTGATTTAATAAAAAAATTTGAAAAACATGGTTTATGAAATCTTACAGTAAAAAGATTAATAAGGGTGCTGTTCAGGTTTCTATAGACCTCAAATGTGAATATTTTCAGTTTTAAATTCAAAGAAAAAACCTACATACCTCGCGTTTGCTATTTGAGGCCAAAAATAAAGTCCAGATTGATCTTTTAAGCAATCTAATTCTGAAGTATCCAAGACAGGCTAGTGTTTTTTGGGAAAACAATGTCAGGGTTGGAAAAAATGCCTAAGAAATAAAACTTCTCAGATATATCTCAATACTGTTAACTGGGCCATTTAACAAAAGCATGCACACACATTTAAAACACTAAGCTTTGCTTCAGTAGAAGAATAAAAATGGTAATACACAAAGTGTTACTTAACAATTCCCTCAAAACGTCATCCCTGGCAGGCCCCCCAAACTTAGAAAAATGTATGGAAATGGTAATTGTCTTTGTTGTAGAAAGAACAGTTCATAATGGGAAAACTGCTAATATTTCACAGGCTACTAGTATTTTATCATGGAATACTAAGATTAATATTTGACTCGTTGATGTTTCAAAAGTCATGGAACTATATAAAATATAATAAAAAGAAACTAGCTAGTATGTGACTACCTGGTGTAGAAATAGAAGGTACATTCAGGACACTGAACAGCACTAACACTTGCTTCATGCTGCACACATACTGGGAATATTGTTTTACAGTAAATATGCAACAATTTGATGAAGTGCTTTTCCCCCACATACTTATCGTTTGATTTCGGGCACTAAGAACACTTGCACATGAATTTCAACTTAAATTTACGGTGAAAATTTAGGTGACCCCCCCCCTCCTCCCCCTTTAAGAGCAATCACTAACTTACCTTTTCTTTAAAAATAATCAATGATAATAGAGCAGTAGGGCTGAATACTTTTCATCATCATGCAAAACTTGCCCCAAACACATGTTGAACAGGAACAGTACTTATAAAGTGACATCATTCCCACAATACACTGCAGTACAGATCTGAAAACTTCAGGTGAGGGAACTGCTAGGCCTGCCTCCTCTGCCCCTTTGTCTTGCAGCTAACTCCCTTCCTCCTAGGACGGGGGCCAAGTGCATTACCAGATTTGTGTCTCCACTCCGTCTCCCCAAAAGCAAAAACAATTACCCCAAGAAGTGTTAACTAAAGATGCGTTAATGTGTTTACAAAACACAACTGGACTTTTTCCATCATTTTGGGATAAACCAAAATAAATTTTTGAAAGTTTCATCTGGAGATTTCACAGCTGAAAATGGCTTTCAGCAAATTCTAAAGCCTTAGATCTTAAGAAAGTATATATTGTCCATTGTTGATTATAAAACCACTTGCCGCCTTTTCGATCTGAAAATTTTTAACACTTGAATTTAACAGGTTTTTCTTCTGGAAAAGTTCTTTGGCATTCAAGTAAAATCAGTACTTTCAGAATAGTCACCTGCATCACACTGGAGCGACTGCTTTAATTTCTAAATCATCAATTAGTGTAACTCAGGGATACCGATGGCCTTGACACATAATTTAGTCTTGTTACTCCAGAGAGTATGGAATTCAGGGCTTTTGGAGGCATCATCTGACCCCATTTCTTTTTACCACAATTGTTCCTGCCACAATGTCATAGGCTGTTCGATTATGCTGAAAAAACAGCAGTGTGATGAAAGCAGGAAAAAAAGAAGCAATAGAAAAATTCTTGATCAAAGCTCGTATAGTAGACCTAGAAAATTAAGGCAAAAAATACCAGATAAGTTATATACCAACCACTAAGAGGTTAATACTATCCTACACCAAGTTTAAAATACATATATATTTCAAACATACATTCAAAGTATTGAGCGTTTTTACCTTCGATATCTGAGTTACTTTCAAATAGCATTATATTCTGATCAAACCACCTGGGTTCTAAAGACATCAACATAAGAGTAAGACTTCAGAACTTCCACATGAAAAGCACTGATAAGTATTTCTCAGAAAGCGAACTAAAGGTTTAGAGTATTTTCTCGGATATTTGGCTAGAAGAATAACTGTTCCCTTTACTTACCTTTTGAATATTCACTCGTGTGGGTTTAGTGCTTTCTACACTATATGCTTCCTGCAATCCCCTCTTCTACCTTCTGTGAGGCTCTGACAGCTTAAATTACTGTGTATTCTTTCTTTGGGGGATGCTGTGATTAAAGAAAGCTTTACAGAGCTTCCAAGTGTGGCTCGGAATGGAGAATTCTCCTATCAGTGTTAGATTTCTGCCTCTCCGTGCACAGAAAGGCTGTAGAGAAAGCGCGTGGCTTGAGTGTGGCTCTGAATGCAGACTGGCTGGTGTCAGATCCCTCTTCAACTACTCACTCGCACTCCATGTCTGTAAAAAGGGGATAACGGTACGGATGGTACCTGGCTTATTAATACGTATTGTTTTAAACAAGGCCTGTTATGTAAGAGGTGCTCAATAAACAGCCATTACTGACTCTCATTAAAAGCAACCAGGATTATAATCATCACAGAACTGTAAGGAAACTTGAGGATATCTGCAAAATCGAGGCTTCCAGAGTCTCTCCTGTATCTTTATAGGACACCGCAGCTCTGAATCGTTGTGGCGGCAGTTCCAGCATCTTGTTTTTGGCCCAGCTGACTGCCGCCTACTTAAGTCTCTACAACTCCCATCATCATCATGTGTACCTCTCCCCACAGAGCCCGACGCCGCCAGCCGGCCCTGTGTCCTGCCAGCGGGACAAGCGCTCTCGTATGGGTCGAGAGCTGGAGCTGGGTGTGTGCAGGCATATCTGCCCGAACCCTTGCTGCCCATTCACGATGGGAGAATGACACGGTTACTACCACATGGAAACTGGAGGCGTGAGGCAGATTAGTAACTGCCCCAACAGCCACTGACTTAGAGAATAACCAAACTAGGTACGGAGCACGGATAGAGACACCGCCACCACCCAAACCCCCTCGCAACTTTTATTCCATAAAATGATTATCTTGAAATTGTACACTGAAGAGGGGTCTACAATCCACAACCGTTGAAAACCTCCAACTTTTCAGGTTTAAACTTAACACTGGTTAATACCATTACACGCCATGAGAAAAAAATACCAACATCTTAAAAATACTGTATCAAATGGTATAACTTAGAACTAACTAACATTGAATTCTACACTTAATTATTTTCATACGTATGTAGGAAATTAAGCCAAGAAAAGAACTTACGTTGTAATGCTAACATTTGAGGAAGGAATCACTAAAACCCGACTCGGTGCAATAAGCACTGATGTGTCACACGTCACCACGCGAAGGCCGAGCAGGAACTTTCCTGGGGTAGCTCCACCTGCTCCCCAAATGCAAATTATCTAAGGAAAGAAGGAGAGTTTAAAGATTATCTATTTGACAGAGGGAGAAGTCAGAAGTAGGCAGGGAGGCAGGCGGGGGGTGGTGGTGGGGGTAGCAGGCTCCCTAATGAGCAGAGCGCCCGATGCGGGGCTCGATCCCAGGACCCTGGGATCATGACCTGAGCCTACGGCAGAGGCTTAACCCACTGAGACCCCCAGGCACCCCGAGAGAAGGAGAGTTTAAAAATAATTTACTAGCTCAACTCTACCAATTTTAAAGATAAGTTTTTTTGCCATGTTATTCATGTTTTAAAATTTTAAGTTGAAAGAATCTCAGAATATTGGGAGGTCAACGCTGTAAGGCTTCTCAGCAAGTCTTTTATACCCTCAGTACCACAAGAGGTCTACTGTAAGATTTCTCTGTGACCCATTTTCTTTTTTTTTTTTTAGCAATTTGTTTCTATGGAAAAATACATTTCAAGTTCCACAACCAACTTACAAGTATATTTTTGGACCACGAGACTCAAATATGTTATAAAGAAATTGTCTCCACTCAAAGTTCTTCTTTTTAACTTGAAGAATACTACGTTAAAGAACATGTGGAAAAAATTTTAAAAAGAGGTATTTGAAAGAAACATGAATAACTATAAATTTCCATTACTTTTTATTTTGGGTTGATCATCTAAAATTAGTTTGTTAAAAAAAAATAACTTGTTAAATGTGAATATTTGCTGAGTCAGTAGCTTACCTCATAGAAACAAACTAACAATCTGTATATAAGAGCCACAATCATCATTTTCTGCAAGTCTTCCATTGATGTGTCTTCATCTATTTCTTCTATTATATAATGCATAGCAAACTTAGAGATATCCCTACACAAAACAATAGTTTGGGGTTATAAAGAATTAGTTACCAGAGCAATTTGCATTGGTATTTTTTCCATCAGTGTCCCAAACTTCAACTGAAATTCTAAATTAATCTTTAGGTTTCCACACATTTTAGTTTCACAATACATTCATTAGCTTGTTCAACAAACAAGCAGCACTATTGTGGGCAGGCATCGTACTAGCCTCAGGGACTCAACGATCTCTGCTTTCTCGGAGACTCTTACCTACCAGACAAAGCACAACAACAACAAAGTACCAATGAAGTGGGATGGGGGTGATGACGGAGAACCACAGGGTAGTAGGGAGACATGTACCAGGTACATTTCACTTAGGGAGTGAAGGCTTCCCAGAAAGGACGTTTGAGCTGAGATCGTGCGTAGGAAGAGAAGTTAGCCAGACGAAGAAGGGGGCCGGGGGAGTTTCAGGAGGGAGAGACTAGCGAGAGCGCGCGCATTGGAAGAGAACAAGGCTGTGATGGAGGCTGTAAGCAGGATGGCATGGCTCAGATATTAAGTATAGCAGGTCACAGCAATTAAGAAATAAGAGCATCTGTTAAATGATATGAGGACAAGCCTTTATCCTAATGGCAGTAAGAAATCACTGAAGAGTTTTAAGGTGGGAGGGGCAGAATCAGAATTTACGATCTCTTTGGTTTTATTATGAGAGACTGGACTGAGATAGAGCAGGAGATGGCAGACCGAGATACCAGTCAGGAGAATTTTGCTATGATCCAGATGAGAGATGATAATCACTGGACTGGGGAGAAGCAGTGACAATGAAACAGTACAGGGACAATGGTCTGAGCCTGAAAAGAAAGGAGCTGGTACCTGGTTGGCTGTGTGGGAGGTGGGAGAGAGTGAGTCGCGGAATCAAAGTAACACTCAGGTTCCTGGCAAGGGCCCTGAAATTTCACCAAAGGGTTTGTATCTTGGCACACTTACTACCTTTGTATTTATAAGTTCTGGGCTTAACTTCTGGAAGTAAACCCAAACTTCAGTCTACAAAAAGGAAGTATGAACCTCTACATCTCATGCTGGTGGTACAATTGAAGACTTCATATGAAATGAGCTCAGCGCTTAGCATATATAGAAAGGGCTTAGCAAATGGTCACTGGTATGTAATTATTCATGTGAAAGGAGGATCATTCAAATAAACCGCTCACTTCGCAGTTCTCTTGGGACTTGCCTCGATGTATAAGCTCTCCCATTTGGAAAAGCCTAACTGATTATCAACACTTCATCTACCCAAAGCTCTTTATGTTTTTGTTTTTACTCTGAATGGGATAGTAAGAGGGAAATTAATGCCTAGTCTAATAAAATGGTTGAATAAAAAAAAATCAAATGTTTACCTACTTTTGATAGGTGAGATTCCCACAGATCTTTCAGAACTCATTAAGTGTTTTTTTCTCTTTTTGTACTTATTTCTTAAAACCAAGAAAACAAATACGACCAAGCTCCTTGGAGGAGCTCCCAGTAGGAGAAATCATGACACTGGCACACTGACTGTCCCCACAGTCACTTGCGGCCATGACCAGAACTTCAGAAAACAAGACTTCTATGCAGTAGACATTAAAACCTTTCTGCAAATAACCTTAACTTACTTTATTCCACTGAGGTGCATAATGCTTAAGACAATGGTTGCTTTTATAAAGAAGAGAATAAAGAAATCCACCATCTCTGCCATAAATCTGTGGGCCAAGGATGGAATAACATACTCTCTGCCTGTAAATTAAAAAAAAAAAAAAAAAGGAAAACTAATTATTTCACATAGGCCTCAGAACCCAAGCTAGGTAATAAATGGAGAACACAAAGTCAAGGTATAACCAGCTAATAAAAAAACAAGTTTAAACCCCGCAACAGTTAATGGTATTGACTCCATCAGTACCACAAGCTATTTATTCCACTATTTACTGAACAGCTTAAAGTTTGCTTTCACCACCTTACGGTTTAAAAAATGATTTCACAGATACTAAATTATTTACGGCACTCAATACATTTCACCGGGACTCAAAAGCATACCCTGGTGATCACCAAGCCTGTGACACAAAATTAAACTTTTTAGTAAGAACCCAGGTTAAGTATAGACAATTACAAAGTAAATACCTGTGTTCCACATTCTACCCCCTCTTCATTTAGTTTGTCTTGCTTTTCTGTGTAATAAATCCAATGATTATCAATCTGACATCTTAAGTTCTGAATGGGATCAAATTCAGGAAAACTAGATCTTGTCTCATATATATGGCTGAACAAAGTAAACAGAAAGTCTAACAAACTACAAAGCGTAACTAGTATTCTAATTCCCATACAGAAGTAAACAGACAATATTACAAAGAACATCAGTTAGGGCTCAAAGGTTCATAACTCCGTCTGCATTCATGTAAATCTCCTTTCATATCCGTCGGTTTCATTAGTTCCCCTATCAATGATACCGATACTACTCTATATCATCATAGACCGCGTCATGCCTAATAAATCCACGTCTGGCTTCTTCCCAGCACTACCCGCACCCCCCGACCCCGACCCCGCCCTCAAAGTGGGTTTGCCACCCGAGAATGAAGCTCTGAGGTCGGTCTCCACAGCACAGAGATCAAGGGGCTAGTCTCCTGGGCAAAGATTTCCTTACACGTGGAGACGACTAGTCCCAGGAATAAGGGGATCCGGTCGGAGGACCAGGTCTAAAGGAAAAAGAAACCGTACAGCCTCGCCGCACACTTCAGGAACTTACAGCCTGGGCGAACGACAGCTGAAGAACGCAGAGAAATAGCAACCCGAGCAGCAGCAGCGGTTACAGAGGTCGAAAGCGTGGCCGCTCCCCTAAGACCCTTTCGCTCCGCCCCGCCCCGCCTCTCCGTCGCGCTTCTCACCTGCCTGCCGCCCGGTCTCGCTCGGGGTTCGCGAAGGGGCGCCGGATCCCACTCTGGTCACTGGGGTTGTTCGGGCGGGTCCCTGCCCGTGCGGAGCCCGGGCTCCCAGGCCCGCGACCGGAGCCGCGGGGGTGATGCCGGTAGCCGCTCTCGGGTCAGGCCCGGCGGCTGCGGCGCTCAGGAAGTAGAAGGGGTTGTAATAGCCCAGCTGGAGGGGCGGCAGCGCCGCGGCCTGGGGGGCGGCGGCGCCACCGCCCGAGGGGTAGCTCGGCGGGGGCGGCTGGGGGCTGCAATAGGCGGGGAAGGCGGCCAGGCCGCTGTGCCAGGTGAGGTAGCCGCAGTAGGACTGCCACAGCCACTCGTGCACCTGCCGGGAATACTCGCGGGCGCTCAGCCGCGCCGGCCTCTCTCGGGGCGCGGCGGCCTCGGGCGCCTCGCGGCCGGCCGGCTCCTGCAGCCCCGCACGAGGGCCCGGGGCCGCCTCCCCGCACTTCCCGGGCTCGCGCAGCGGCTCCGACTCCTCAGTGGTGCCCGCGGCGGGCGCGAGGCCCGGAGCGGGGGGCCTGCCCGGGGCCTGGGGTTCGGCCTGCGGCCCGTCCCGGGGCCGTGGGGCGGCGGCGGCAGGAGAGCCTCTCAGGGAAGGGACGGGCTCGGGGTCTCCTCCGCCGTCGTCCTGCCCAGGAGGGCGGCCTCGGGCTTCCTCCGGCCCCTCTGCCATCGTCGCCTCAGCAGCACCCTCGGCGGTCCTGTCACTGCGCCGTCTCCCTCCCCCACTAGCCCCTCCCTAACGGCCCGGTCGCCACCGCAGCGGCCGCAGGCGTCAACAATCCGCCACCGGAAGCGGAAACCCCGCCTCTCCCCGGCGTCGCAGGCCGCTGGGCGGAGCCGGGGAGGGCGGGCGTGGAGGAGGGGCTGCGTGCGGCGGCGCGGGCGTCCCGCGTCGGGCGTCTCAGCTGACCCGAGCTATTGGGTCATCGGTTGTTCGGACCAGGTTCCCCGCTCCCTCGCCACCTCTCACGGTCTTAATGAAGTCTAAGGCCGGTGGCCTCCCCACATCATCCCCTGGGAGGTGGACTCAGGCTGTCCCAGGAGAAATTGCGGAGGGAGGAGGAGGATTTCCGAGGGAGGTCGGGGGTCCCAGGTTTCTGTGACCGAGCCGCGACTGTTCGGGTCTCCCCAGGCACAGGGCTTGTTGCTTACTTCCGCCTGCATTCTTTCCAGTGAATCAGCCTTGGCCGTGTGTACTCAAGACAGTGACGCAAGACCTGTCCGCGTAAGGGGTTAAGAAATGAATAACCAAACTACAGTATGGCTCGGCTGCAGGGATTTTCAGTGCAAAGGAAGGGAAGTGGGATTATAGGGATTATGCCGATTTAAGATCGAAACTCGTCCTTATGCCGGAGCTAACCTGTGTCGCTAAAATCTTACTTTCCATTGCTGTAGACTAGCAAAACTGCCTTTCCTCAAGCCATCTTCTCGGCCTTTAGTGTATATATTCCTTTATACTCTGTTACGGCAAGACCCGTTCCTATCCCAGGGCTTTGGAGCCTTCTCTGAATACTCGGGCCCAGGCATGATTTCCTCTTCCTCTGAACTGTATATAGCACCTTATATATTTATATTTTAATATACTTCCAAGTGTCATAAAGTTGATTAAGTGATGTATGCTTTTGTATCGCGGTACCATTCTGAAGACCTTCAGGGACTAAGTACCTCCCAGGGGATGATGTGGGGAAATGTGGTTACGCTTGTTGCTAGTGATGTCCAGAATCATTCTTGACTGCCTTGGGAACTAGAATAGTAAAAGGTTTCACTTTTGCCCTTAACAGTTTCAGTAGCTCATAAGATTAAAGGGAAGGACCTTTCATGAAACACTCGAAGACCTATTTAAGACAGTATAAGTATAATAAGAATCCAAAATAAGGGAAGGATCATGGTGGTCTATAGCTAGCAAGGTTACTCTTAACATGTTTGGTTTTAAGAATTGTGAGGAAGTTGTAGCATTTAAGCAAATAAGCATTCCAAGTCTGGAGGGTTCTGGGACTGGGGGTGGCAGGAGAAGCAGGAAAAAATGACGATGATATGGAAGGAGTGTGAAATATTGCAGTTATTAGAGGCATGGACTTTGTTTTCAATATCATTGATTAACACGTGGCACAGGCTGCATAGTAGATATTTATACTAATCAGGACTCTTGCTTGCAATTGGCTTGTAACTGATTTGAGAGAGAAAAACTAAGTGAATTCATGACTTGCATAACTAAAAAGTTCAGGAGTAGTTCAGGTTTCAAGGATATCTGGTTACAGGTGATCACTTCAGGAATCACCTATTTATTGGTTTATTTTCCGACTTGCCTTTTGAGTAAAGTAAGAGTGTTTCTGTTCCAGTGATTAAAAACAAACAAACAAACAAAAAACCAGAACTCTAACTAGCTTGAATGAAAGAAATTTTTGGCCTATGTAAATCAACAAGTTTGGGGTTCTACATAATATGAGAACATTCAACAGGACATCTAATAGGCATCCCAAAAGAGAGAAGAGAGGCAAAATTCAAAGCAATAATAGCCCCAAATTTTCTAGAATTGAAGAAAGATTATGCTTTAGATTGAAAGATCAAGTCTTAAGAAAATAACACATACATCATGATGAATTTAAGCAAAGAGAAAATTTAACAATCTTAATAGTAATCAAAACATAAACTACTGACAAAAAATGACATTTAGACTGGAAGCCAAGTTTTCAAAAGTAAAAATAGGTGCTGAAGAGAGTAGGATGAATATAGGTAGTACTGAGGAGAAATTACTGACAACCTAGAATGTTAGAACCAAGTAAACAATACTCAAGAATGGAGATTTGATGTAATGCACTGTGCCAATCCAAATAACATACCGATCAACCCTATCCCTTTCCATGTCATTCAGCTAAGGATTGAAATCCCAGGGATGTAGAAAGAGAAGTATTTATGACTCAAAAATATAAATGGATTCTGGAAAGCTGGTAGTACATAAGTTTTGAATCTCCATGGACCCCTACAGAGAAATAGACTAGGTAGTGAAACCAAAAGTGCATGAAACGTTTACAGCAAAACTAACAAACAGATAACACCACAAGCCCCAAAATGTAAGAGGATGAGGTCAGACCACACATGCAAAACATGCACAGCGGTCAGTGCCAAAAAAATCAGATCAAAATTGTAAAGATGTTAAAGTGATAAATAAAAAGCAAAATAAATCAGAGTAAGAAGAACTCAGAAATGAAGTAATAGAACTCAGGAAAGAGGGGCGCCTGGGTGGCTCAGTGGGTTAAGCCGCTGCCTTCGGCTCAGGTCATGATCTCTGGGTCCTGGGATCGAGTCCCGTGTCAGGCTCTCTGCTCAGCAGGGAGCCTGCTTCCCTCTCTCTCTCTCTCTCTCTCTCTCTCTGCCTGCTTCTCCATCTACTTGTGATCTCTCTCTGTCAAATAAAATCTTAAAAAAAACTCAGGAAAGAATTAGAAATTTGAAAGGAGAAGAGATCTGAAAAGAGTACCAAACTAGGAGGAACACAGGAGTAAACAAACACAACAGATAGTGTCCAAAGAGAACTAGAATTTGAAAATGAGATTTTTTTAAGTCCAAAAGAAGTTTAGAGAAAGAAATGATGGACACTGAAGATTGGCAAAGAGGATCCAGTGTATGGATAAAGAAGCTCCCCCACCCCCATAAGGAACACCAGAGCCAATTAACAGAACAAATACAACGCGTGGTAATTTAAGAGAACTTTTCCTGAAATACAAATATATTTTTGTATTTATATATATTCACACATGCCCCGTAATATATATTCATATGTATATTCACATATCTTTTTAAAACCTCATACTGAAAAAGCATACTGTGAAAACAATGAATAGCAAGGTGTATTCTAGTAAAAATGACTGCACCTCACATTTTGGTCATTTGGGGCAACATTATTTTTTTAAAGATTTTATTTATTTATTTGACAGAGAATAAGCAGGGGGAGCGGCAGGCAGAGGGAGAGGAAGAACAGGCTCCCCGCTGAGCAGGGAGCCCAAAGTGGGATTGATTCCATCGCAGGACCCTGGGATCATGACCTGAGCTGAAGGCAGAGGCTTAACCGACTGAGCTACCCAGGTGCCTCTAAGGCCAACATTTAGTAGAGAAAGAGAAAGAAAACTGGATTATCATAGGACTTCAACATTACCACTTCACACGAGGAGAAAATGGTAAAGCATTTAACATATTCAAAGAAAGAAAACAAGAACTGAGGACTTTATATTCGACAAAACTGACTTTCAAGTATAAAAACAGGCAATAAAAACAGACAATGACAGAAGGACAGTGATGAACATTAAATATTTAATTACGTGTAGCTCTAAGACTAAATGAGGGTGCATTTCAGTCAGCGTGCATTCAAGTGACAGAAACCGCAGAGTAATCGGAATGGAGAACGTTTGCTATAAAGCATTATTAATGGAATTGGAGTGAAGGGAAGTTGGAGGGTAAGAAGCAAAGAGAAGTCCTACCACGTAGGAGCAGTAGATTTGGGGAACGGCCACCACTCCCAGCACTGAAACTGAATGCCCAAGGAAGGGCTCCTCACCCCCACCCTGGGGCTGAGGTCTGGACCTTGTTGGGGAGGGCATGACTGGGGCTCACTGCTGGACACAAGCTCACAGAAGTGTGGCCTCAGTGGGACTTGTTAGAAATCCTCTCTCTGGACCGTGGGAGGAAGCTGTCCACAGGGTGGCTTATCTCAGGTGCCCCATCTCAGAATCCACCGCCAAATATCCAGAGAAACCACTTAAAGGAAGGCGCTTGGCCAGCAGCTTGCCACTCTGAAGCCATCCAAGAGAGGGGGTGGCCTGGGCAGCTGCTGCGTGTTGGCCACACGGCAGTACTGGAAGGAACCCTCTCTTCCGTGGGAGCCCAAGGAGGTAAGCGCATGAAAACCGGAAGGGGAAGCCTCTTCCACCCCCGTGGCTCTCCAGTGCCGTCTACTAACCGAACCTAACATCTGACCAACTGGCATGGAAGGAGTATTTACAGAGTTCAGCCCCATTATTGCAGAGCAAGTGAAGATTTGGAGCCCAGAGTCCATAAACAGACGTCTAATATAGGGTTAAGAGAGAGTGTCATCTGAGATGGATATATATTCTGAAATATTGATACGAAATTTCTATAAAACTGGAGGGGAGTATGGGAAGAACGTAGGCAAAAAATTTTAAACTTTTCAGTACAATGATGGTAATTTTTTATTTTGAGAGTGTGTGTGTAATGTTGCATAAAATGAGTAATTATCATTAGTCTGAACTCTTATCTATCTCTTGTCTGATTTTCTGGTTCTTTTCAGGAAGTCATTGTCCTTATCACCTGCACTGTGGTCTTCAAATGCCATGGTTCACTAAAAGAAACGGGCTTATTGGAGGGTTGGGTGATTCTATATCTGGGGCAGGAAATGCATAGAATGAACATGTTATGTCTTGTTATACCAGAGAGCAGAGGAACTATTAAAGCCTTCTAGGGTCATGTCCAGCAGACCCAGAAGCCAACTTCAAGAGTTCCCTTTGGCCAAAGATGGGATAATTTGAGTTTCAATAAAGGTAATAATTAGAATGAATGGTAACACATTACATATGTCTAAATACAGGAACTAAATACAGAAACTAAACTGGAGTCTGATCAAGTGTCTGGATCTAACTGCCGATTTGTAGGAAACAAAAGACAAAAAAGCATGTTGAAATACACCCTTGGTCTGCAATCTGCAGAATCCAGACTGAGGAACTGTACGAGTCAATCCGCTGAGTTCGGCAAGAGATACACTGTAGGAAAAGAAAGGGATGGGGAGAACCATTAGATTAAAGGAGACTGAAAGGGCACCTG